GGCCGCTGTGATACAATTGTATAATAATAATAATAATAATAATAATAATAATAATAATAATAATAATAATAATAATAATAATAATAATAATAATGCAAGAAAAAAGGAAATCAACCAGAAAATAAGTGAAATTGTGGCAAGAAAAAGAAAGAAAGAACAAAGAAAAAATAAAGATCAAAACCATTTGTATTTATGTTACTCAAGTTTTAAGCAACAAATACCCTGACCATGTGGAATTATATTGAATTATATATTACATTGTAATTTATAGTTATGTGTGAATAATGTAGATGTGAATATTCAGATCATATATCATAAAATCATCCATTGATTTAGATTTTGCTCTAACACATGAAAACAAAATTCTTGATACTTTAGTAGGTTCCTAATTTTCAGAATGTAGAATGCAGAAATACATTTCTATTACATATTTCTTTTTTTTTAAATAACATTTCTTGGTTCTGTTCTCTTCTAAAGTACTGATGAAAGTTAATTTTCTGAATTATTGGAGAAATAAGATTGTACCCTGATGCTGTTAATGATGGTGTTAATGTCTATTACATTTTTTTAAAATAAGCTAAATAATGAAAACAACAATTTTGGCAACCCTCATCTGTGCCTGATATGCTTTACATTGGGCTGACATTATCTAGAACACTCTTGTTGTGTCTTGGCCTTAGCCTGGGTTTAGCTCTTTCATATGTAAGACAAAGTTTGTTTGTTTGTTTATTACTTTTATATACCACCCCTGTCATTGATGAGGCAACACTGTATCTGCTGTACTGTACTTTATATTTGTTAAGAGAATGTGAATTAATTGATGGCATTACATAAAATATATTGTACTGTAAAATCCAAGACAGTGGTTATCTCATATATTAATAATCAATTTCATAAATAAATGTTTAAAAGCAAATTGAGATGGTGGAAGAGGGTGAGAATGGATATTGGGCTGTCCCTTGATAACTTTAACTCTTCTGTATATCAGAATCAGTGGTGGGATTCAGCCAGTTCGTACCTATTCGGGAAAACTGGTTTGTAACTTTCTAAGCGGTTCAGAGAACTGGTTGTTGGAAGAAATCTTTTGTTTTTTTCCCACTTTACAGGGCTAATCCTGTAAGGAAGGCAGGAAGGAAACATTCTGGTGTTGTTTCTAGCCTAATCTTTATTGTCCTGCTTACAGAAACTGCCTCTCCAGTTAACCCTTATTACCATTTAACAACTAAGGCAAAGTGCCCATTGACCTGAGTGACATTGACTTGGCCATGCCCGCATAATCACTGAGCCCCGCCTACCCAGCTATTCATTAGGGCAGAGAACTGGTTGGTAAATTATTTGAATCCCACCACTGATCAGAATCCAGAGTAGGTCCTAGCGATTACACGTGTAATGTGTAAGACCCAAAGCAGGATATTATATACATTTATGTATACTTTTATAAGTTGTTCCCATAATTGTGTGAACGGCATCTCATCTAACTAGAATCTTTAAAGTATCCAACGGTTGCTATTCAGTCAATGTCCATCCCTGGGGAGCAATTACAAAATAGGCAATGTTAATGTACCAATTGGACAAGTGACACTGAACAACAGTTGCTCCGTATATCCTAGGTCAGACTATGTGAAAATAAATTATGTGTATAGAATCTGGATGCACACCTATCCAGCTGAATTGTCTGGTGTGTGATGATAGTGGGGTGAGGGGAAAATAACAATGCAAAATGCAAAAATGCTTGCCTGAAGAGGTTATCTAAACACACAGGCTATAACTTCACCATTTCCCGGCCAGCCCTGAGCCAACTATGTTTGATTCCCCCCCCCCCCCCCTTGCTATAGGAATAACATGGGGTAAAATTGCATCTCTATACGCCGTGGCAGCAGGCCTTGCTGTGGACTGTGTGAGACATGCCCAGCCAGCCATGGTCCATACCATTGTGGACTGTTTGGGAGAGTTCGTACGCAAGACTTTGGTGACATGGATGAAGAGGAGAGGAGGCTGGGTAAGTGATCCTGTAAAGTTACACCTTCCTTAAAAGCATGAGAGGACAAGCTGTGGGACTGTTACTGTCAGGAATCAATTAGATGAGTATTTCACGGGAGGTCAAAGTTCTCCTTTAATAAAGCTTTGTCTGTCTTCCCTTCTGAATTCTGACTATATTAGTTTCTTCATGTAGCTTTGAGTCTGATCCATTGGGACTGTGGCTGCTTTTCTTCTCAAGTTTTTAGCTTCATTTCATTTGCTTCATTTGCTACTGCTCACTTGTGATAATCGTTTATAGGAATTTGTGTTTTTAAGAGAGATAAGTAATGACAATAGGAAACCTTGGCCAGTTATTAAGTCACCTGGTATGTGTATATACGTGTTCAGGGGTACCTTTCTACATTGGGCAGATACTTTGTAGCTTGGAAGATATCACTGCCCTTTGTTTTTTAACTGCCATTTTCAGTGGACAAGAGGCAGGCAATGGTATAATGCTGCACAAAGAGGTAGAGTTGATTCTCTACAGTCTTATACAGATAGTCCACAACCTACAATCACAATTGTGTCCAAAATTTCTGTTCCTAAGTGAAACATTTGCTAAGTGAATTTGTCCCATTTTATGACCTTTCTTGCCACAGTTATTAAATGAATCGCTGTAGTTGTTAAATTAGTCAAACAGTTGTTAAGTAAATCTGGCTTCCCATTGAGTCTTGTTTGTTAGAAGGGGATCCGAGAAGGGACACTGTAATTCAGAAGTGGATTCAAGGTTTCCAACAGGAGATTTATTCAAGTTTTCCAAAGCTGAGATCAATGGAAGTGTTTTAGGGATTTTGATAAATCCTTCACCAGCAATCTGGCAGGAATCATGCAAAGCTCTATTAGTACTCAGACTATAACATATGCAAAAATGCTGATTCTCTTTTTCTTTTCCACCACAGGCAGACATAACAAAGTGTGTCGTGAATACTGATCCCAACCTTCGCTCCCATTGGCTTGTGGCTGCCATTTGTAATTTTGGCCAATTTTTGAAGGCCATCTTTTTTGTGCTGTTGCCAGAAAGATGATATCTGGTTATCAAAAAAAGTTCCATTTTCTTCTCGGTGACCAAGAGACACAAGTGAAGAAGTAATTAGATGACTTTCCTCCACGCTTTTCCAATGATGGGAAGCCTTTTTTTCAGTTCATGTCTTATACCAAGCATCTTTTGTACTTTGAGATTTGCACTGATCTGTTCACAAGGCTGAGCAATGGAAGAACTTGCCACTCAGTTTATTGTTTATAGATTGTGTCACATCTTGATGTACTAAGAACAAGGAAGCTGATCTGGAGTTGTGCAAAGAGGAAAACTATCTTAAACTTTTTGTATTTTGCAGTTGTGATTTTTACAGTGTTATTCATTCTGGAATTCTAAATTCTTGGTTGATGATTGCTAAATAAAGAAGGGAGGGGTTTCTCCAATATACTGAAATTTAGTTTAAATATCACTTCCTGTCTAAGAAACTAAACTGGGATTATACATGATACATTGCCAATCTACATATCCAGCTTTATATTTTCACATCTGAGGCACCAAAATATAAGGTCATTTTTTAAAAAGCTATGTTTATGTTGAATAAAACAATCCAGAGACATCAACTGCAACAACTTTTAGAATACAAAATATACCCTATTTGGAACATACATTTTAATGTGAGGTGCAATTGGCAAATTGTGTGCTCTGATTTTAATCCTACTGCAGCCCATCTATGATAAAAAGCATGACAGAAGGAAATCTAAACCTGCTTTGATGCCTAAATGCAAATAAAGAACTATGTATACACAATGAAGTGTATAAACATCTTAAAGATACTCCAACTCATTTTGTTTCTTTTCTACTTTGTAACTTACAATGTGAAAAAGGCTGGTAAATGGGAATGAAGCAATGAAGATTATCCTTGAAATTTGTGAAAACAGCAAAGCTTTGGGCTTCTGGTGTTAAACCATTGAAACAGAATTTTAACACTGTATATAATGAAATGACACCTTGAAGAGGTTGATTTATTGTGACTAAATAAAACACAACAGAGCATGAAGAGCATGACTTCTGGAACTCTTTGTAGTCACTTAATCATAATTCTGCTCTGGGTCAAGTGGTCAGGAGTGGCTCTTAGATTTGTGGCATCTGCAATATTCCAAGTGGCTACCTAATGGCCTTTCCAAATAGGATCCTTTGGGGGATTTTACAAGAGGTTTTTTTCTTTCTCTCTGAAGACTCCATCTGCACCTAGCCTGTTTTTTACTCAATCTTCCTTCTGCAAGGAAGGGAATGGAATGGAATTTCCAGGAATGAAAATTGAGTTCCATTCTGATGAATAAAAAGCAGGACATTGTCTCGACTAGAACTGCTTTCCACCATTCTGTGGTTTAAAAGGAATATTTGTATATGCTGATATGTTTGTTGAAGGAGTCCTTATAAAGCCAAAATGATGCAGGGATGAGGAGCAGGCTTGAAAGATCCATTACTAAGAGAAGAAATATATATGTTGAGTGTGGAAAGTGGGAAGACCCTTCAAAACTATATTTAGCATACTCTGAAAATACATAACATTTGGGGGGGGGGGAATTGAATATTTCAGCACCAGAGCAGAAGCATTTTGTGAGATCTGTTGCCATGGATACAATCAGAGCCCTAATATATATACACTATATTGCCAAAAGTATTCGCTCACCCATCCACATAATCAGACTCAGTTGTGAGCGAATACTTTTGGCAATATAGTGTNTGCACCAAATGCGCCGCGGTGAACGGGTGGTAACAGTGGCGAACAAATGGGCAGCAGTGAACGGGTGGTGGTGGTGAATAGGCCATGGCAAATAAGCCAGATGAATATTGGATGGATGCTGGGAGGCAGAGGCAGATTTCCCCCCCCCCCTTGTTTTCCTCCCCAACAGCTAGGCGTGTCTTATAGTCTGGAGCATTTTATAATCCAAAAAATACGAGTAGTTAAGATTTTCTTTATACCCCATTAATATTTAGGAAGTCAAAGCAATAGAGTATTTACTACATATTGTTTCAGAGGTATTCTTCTTAAACATATGAAAAAAAGAAAGAAAACTCACGAGAAATTCAGCATGGGTTGACCAGCGTGAGAGATGTGCACTTCTTCAAGGTATTGGAAGGGCTTCATTGAAGGAAAGGTACCATCCCCTGGGGGATCTGAAAGCCAAGTGCCCAGCATCCAGGAGAGCGGTTCAATCACAGGATTCAACTGTGCAGTTTCTAAATAAATAAACAATCTGAGAGTATCAAACTGTACCAGTTTTTTGAAAGTAGCAATAGGCAACCTTCCTTAATAAGTTGTATAAGATTCCAGAAGAAATTATAAACTAATGAATCCTTATAGTACCAGCTTTTTAATTGCAAAATATGCTAAAATAACATTTACAATAATGTATTCTAAAAGCTTTATTAAAAATGTATTCTTTTGAATTTGGAAAGAAAATCAATGGAGTGTTTGTAAAAAAAAAAAACAAGTTACTTTTGTTCCACAGATATCAGGTGGGGCTTCTTAGAAGCTATAATAGACAATAATCTACTTTAAAAGTATTATCTTAAGAGTCTAAGGAAATATATTTTCTTATGATCATGTGAAGTTTAGACAGGGCTGAATTTGGAGTTAAATAATATTTCCATGGAATGGAAACAAAAAACTAATAAGATTTTTTGGGGGAATGAATTCAAATAACCAAACTTGAAAAATGAAGGGAACTAATGAAGTGTTTTTACTACCATCTAGTGGATGAACTCACATTACAGCAACTCAAAACATAAACATACACAGCACACTATTACTTTTCAAATTGAGCAACATTTTGCAAATGTTTAACTTATATTTGCTTATAGAACTACAACCAGAACTGTATCATTATGCACATTAGAAAGGTATTCAGAGATTCAAGTTAAATATATGCTCTGTGTAGGCACTACACTTCCATACATTCCAACTGACGCACACCTACACATAAACAAAACACATTAACTCAAGGAGGGAATGAAGAGGGCAACTAAGTCACTAACAACTCCATGGCTTTAGATTTTTAGGGACCAGAAGGGAGAAAAGCATGACATCAGATTGAGAAGGGGAATAGACTGTATTGGTGGCTATTAACAATGAATGCAGAAAAGCATGTAAGAGATAAAAGGATGGATTGAACTATGCTTTTGTTTGAGTAGGCAATCTGCAATCACACTTAAAACTATTTTTAAATTTCCCTAGGGATGAACGTGAAAGCTATCCACAAACATTAATGGAGAAATCAGATATTTTAATGCAGCTAAGTACTGACATAGAAGTACACAACCAGCCCTGGGTATTTTTCCCCTTTTGTGTGGGTGGAACAAATAAAGGATCAGAAGACTTATTAAATATGTTGGCATGCAGTAGAAATTTCATATCATGATTCATACAATTTAAATATAAAAACTGATCGAAACATCAAAATATGCATTTTAATAGATTTGTTCCAAATCATTTTGCTCACAGGCATTTATTCTTCTATATCATAATTTAACAAATTTTCCAAACTGATCATGCAAGAAGCTTTATTTTTATTTTTGGATTGAATTAAATCAAAGAGAATAGTGAAATACAAATAGTTCCCTAACTTAGAAAACTGATCCCAAACAAAATATTACATATTATTAACCAGTAGCTTTCTCCAAAAGCCACATACAAACAGTGCCTAAGCCAGTTCTCCTTGCTCATTCTCTCCCTCCTTTTAGTACTATGCTCAGTGGCTAAGATGCTGAGCTTGTTGATCAGAAAGGTGGGCGGTTCAGTGGTTCGAATCCTAGCACCGCGTAATGGAGTGAGCTCCTGTTATTTGTCCCAGCTTCTGCCAACCTAGCAGTTCAAAAGCATGTTAAAATGCAAATTGAAAAATAGGAGCCACCTTTGGTGGGAAGGCAACAGCATTCTGTGCCCCTTCGGCCATGCCGGCCACATGACCATGGAGGCATCTTTGGACAGCACTTTGAAACGGAGATGAGAACCGCCCCCTAGAGTCAGAAACAACTAGCACATATGTGTGATGGGAACTTTTACCTTTACTTTTACCTTTGGCTCCTATTTTACATTGCAAATGCTGCAATAGTACTTAACTGAACAGCTTTAAGGAGTGTATGATTTCACTGAATGTGTATTGTTTTCCAATAAATTAGTATGGTATGGTTACATGATTTAAAAAAATTTGATACCTATTTCCTACAATCTTATAATTATATGATGATTGTATATATTTTTGAAAAGGGGAAAGTCATGGAACTACATTTATTGATATAGTGAAAAACTAATAAAACATTACAAATGTTTCAGATGACCTATCAAATTCATAATCCTTTTCTGAATAGTTCATCTAATAGTTGTGTTGTTAGATGCAGTTATTAATAGAAAATAGTATAAAAATAATAGTTTAAAAGCTTATGAATGTATTATAGTATTTATGAAGACTTAACTACTGAGAAATAATCAGTCACAGAAAAATAATAATATGCTATACATTTTAAAGTGTGTATGTATCTTGAATACAACAGCATTTTGTTTGCATTCATGCCCTGGAAATTGAGCTCAATGGTAGCCAAATTCTTGCCACCAAAAATAAACACTGACACAATTGAATTCAAAAACATATAGAAACTTCCTGGTCCCTTCTCAACATTAACTTAACATTAACAAAGTGGGAGAATGAATGTGTAAATCTGGAATTTTCTTATTTTTGTTACTATCACGGATTCAGAAACAATCAACGATCAGCACAAATTGAAACATTATAAAATGTAGTGCTTGTGCAGCACTGATTGAAATGTTTTCTATATGCAAAGGAAAAAGAATAGCAATCAGCAGTGTAATTTAATATCTTCTTCCTAGCGTTTTCCCGCAAGTGCAGGGTCTGTTTAGCAGTGTATTTTCATATACAGTACACAAAACATAACCCATATCTCTATATGCAAAATGTATTAGTACTTCAATTTTAAAAAGTAATTATTTTATACAGTACCTGTTTGGATTTCACTGCTGGCCATACTTTGCAATATTATTTATAGCTTGCTTACTTAAGATCACTAATCCTTTCCCTAGCCTCCATGAAAAGCTGCAACAATCTAAGACAAAACAGGAAACAACCTTTGGACTCTTAAGGTTACTGCAGTGTTTTCTGGGATTTGTAGTCAAATTTAACAAGTTATGCAGAACTGATGTGAAACTTTGGCATAGATTGTGGCTCGTAATTCTTTTTGGTTCCTTCTGCTCTTTCATAAAAATAAGGCACATACTAGCATCCCATAAAACCAAGGCAAACATTCAGTACTGTATTCAGCTTGTAAAACAGGGCAGAAGCAAAGAAGGAGAAAGTTAAAAGCCAGACTGACAAATGTTAGCATGACTAAATAGTTCTTTTGCTAGTGAAATCCAATTTGCCAGGCTTTCTTTTTTTTATGAGCTAAGTAAACAAGAGATAGAAATAGTGGCAGCCTATACACATTTACAAATGAAAAAGTATCTCAACAATATACAGTTCATTATCAGTGATGTATGAAAATAAGTGTATGTTCCAAGCATAAATTAGGGGTCCTGGGTGCTCTCTGAGTTTGGTTGTTTTCTTGCAGATGTTTCATTACCCAAACTAGGTAAAATCATCAGTGCTAATCCATCATCACTTGCATTGATGATGTTACCTAGTTTGGGTAATGAAACATCTGCAAGAAAGCAACCAAGCACACAAACACCAAGAGCCCCTCATTTCAACCTGAGTTACAAATATTCTCCTTTATCAGTAAAATATAAACGGTTATAAATCTAATTAGGTTTATAATCTAATTAGGGAATATTAAAGAGGCAATGTGGCCCTGTGGGTTCTTTTGACCAGATTTAAACTGTAGCATCAGGTAACTGTAGCCAACACAGTATAAATGTAGTTCCTAGATTTCTTGTTTGGAAAGTGCAATATGGCACTGACCTAAAGCTAGTGCACATGACCAGGGTTAGGCTCAAATACTGAATCCTTCTCCAACCCCAAGGGGTCTTATCTATGTTAGGCAGCAATGTATTCCAATGGGACAGTGTGATTGAGGGCAGGAAAGAGCATGCCTGCCAGGCAAAAATCTCAGCCAGCTTCATCTGTTAAACCCTTGGGGAAGCTGTGGGCTGGACTGGTTTAGTAAGACCCTGTCTTCCACACAGGACCTCCAGTCACTATCGCTCTCACTTGTCACCAATGAGGATGTGGCCCAGTTGAGCAACCAGCCTGGGATCTCTCACCCATCAGACGGATTGGCAGGCTAATCTATAGAGACTAGCAACCCAAAGAGTAAGTGTGAAAAAAACACCACTACCACTAAATCAGAGCTAAATCAGAAATAGGACCTGTATTAGGTGTGTCGCTTTAGTCTGTCATTTTAACAACTGGTTCTCGCAAATAGAACTCAACACTGTGCATGAGGGCAGGAATCAAAACAGTTGATATGATCCATCTCCCAGCAAAGGCATCAAGACCATTGTGAAGCAGATTTAGTCCTACGTATCCAACATTCCCCCCCCCCCCAAGAAGAAATGTATATAGAGGGAAAACAGAGCAACTGATCCTTGAAAATATTCTATGCTAAGAAACTTCGTTAATTATCTGACCTTGCCTACATGTTTCTCTTAAGGAAAAATCTGATGCAGCAGAGTTCTATCCTGCATCCTACGCTATTTAGCATAAATATTAAATCAATGGGCAGATCACCCAGAAATATCAATGCACTGTGGTAATTTAATTCTGCTTGAGCCAAGACCAGAAAAAGATGAAAGTCAGTGCAGCTCTTGTAAGTAATGTGTAGCACAAAATCCATTAAAATGTGATCCAGTTTCTTTCTGATGCTTAGTTCCTTCAAAATGCCTTGACTATCTGGTTTTAAATGTTATCCATGTTTTCTTCTTTTGAATGGTTTTTGCCCCTGTATTTATCATGATTGGGGAAGGATATAAAGTTTGTTAAATAAATTGACAACATGCTCCTATTAAATTGTATACTATTTTAAAAATAAATTAAAAGGATTAGGTAAGAAATTAAGCATTCAGAATAAACATTATATAAATATCCGAAGTCTGGCAACAATTGTTATCCAACACAAAAGAAATGAGTACATAATTTCCCCTACAGAATACCAAAATATATATCTTTGAGTTTTTTAGTCTCATTACACTAGTAATGAGTAACAGTAATCGTCCCTCGGAAGTATGAAATCTGTTCTTCGGTATAGTATAACATAACTAAAGCCATAGTTTAGCAGATCATTAAAAGTTACACCAATAGGGATTATTGTAATGCCAAATCATAACAGTCCAATGGTCAATTCTTTGGTGCTTAACTCACATTATATAAAAATTATAAATGTTTCCATCACAATCTCAAATATAACACTTGTTCTTTTAACTTAAAATTCATGGCTTTCATAGATTTCTTTGGGACAGCAACTATAATCAGTGATATAATTGAAATTGGGACAAAGAATACCCACCATTAGAAGCTCTTGGAATGCAGGCAAGGAAAGCATTCTGACCTCATTTCAAACATATTTTCCTTTTGGCCCACATTCATCCAGGGTAACTGCTGTTTTAAATCACTATTCAGGGGGAAAAACCTGGTCCCTATTGCTGATAACCTCAATATTAGGAGTGAAAGGCAGGATTTGCCAATTCCCAACTGGAAAGATACAGGCCCACATTATCTGGCCCTGTTTGCAGGTTTTAGTAAATTTGCATTACTAAATACAGTTTACTTGTAAAGAGCATAGGAATTGGATGTGAAGGACAGGAGGAAGAGTTACTACCCAGAAACTAGATTGATTGACAGAGGATTGAGTCTGGCCAAGAAACTAATTTGAAAAAACAAGTCCCTCTTAATTCACACCAAGAGAAAGAGAAGGAGGGCAGCAACACATTCAAGACTTGTAAGATTCTGTAACTATAGCTGTTGCTCATAGCATTTCATCATTTATTTCTTTTCCAACTTATTTTGGGTGTAATTCATGTTTGAAACTTCATTGAATTGCTGTTCGAGTTATATTTTTGGCATGACCTATATTTATATAGGTCTGTATTCCACCACTTGACAGCCAAGCCTTCAGTTCAAACAGAATTAATTTTATCTCTTAGGTAATGCTACACTAATCAAGGGATATTACTTTCTGGAATTTAAATATGAGAAAATACTACTAATAATGAGGAGGGAGTAACTGCATAGCAGCATGAAGTGAAAGGAAATTAAGATTAGTGAAAGTGAGCTGGTGAACTATGAGTAGTTGAGAAGATGGAAGCATTAATATGTCAGCTTATTGGAGAAAGAAGAACTCAATTGAAGATAAAATGGAAGGAAGAAAGACAGATTGAGATTATGCTGCATGCAACAAAGGAAAATCTAGGTGGCAACATTAGTTAAACATGAAAATGGAATGGTGGAGGCGCCAGATGGCAGAAGACATTGATGGCATGCAAGGAGTGAGGAGAACAGTGAAAGTGGTTGGAAAGTGGGACAACTGGGGAAAAAATGGGATGGACAGCCCAGAGCATTATAGGCAGCAGAGGCAGAGTCTATCTTTTTGGAAGTGTTGCTACCTGTTCAAGCCTTATGGTTGACTTGGCTGGGTATATCCATAAGGACTATTCATCCTTATGGTCATTTGATTGCCTTCACCTTTGAACAAGGGGAAAACAGATAGGAAATGATCATGACTTCAACTAGTCCATGAGGACCACTGGCTAGTTTTGGAAAGGTGGCAGATGGAATCGGTCTTGTGGAAGGTTGTTTGGAAAATTCTATTTGAAGTGAGGATAAGGGAGGATAAAAGAAAAGTTAATAAAAGTGGAGTATATGGGTTAGATCTGTTGATAAGGAAAGGAATATATGCTCTTCTGCAGTTGCAAGGCAGAGAATAATCAGAGTAGGTTTGGGGAGTCAGAAGTCAAGGCTGGTATTTTCCACCAATTATGAATACGAGTGGAGAGAGTGGAAATATTATTGATCTTGGTTTGTGAGTAGGATAATAAGAGGACATTTAAATGGGATTTCTGCAACTAGTAGTGGCTGCTGAATAACTCAGGCAAAGGAAGCCAAATGATGGAGAAAGGACATGGGATTGTTGATGGGTGAGAAGTGTAGAACATGGTGTGTGTGAGTGGTATTATCAAAAATTAAGATGAGAGAGTAATGAGTGAGAATCCCTTCTAGGCAGGCAGGACCAGATCTTGAGAACAACAGAAATGGAGAAGGATATAGAGGAAGAAGTAAAGATCATAATGGTATTGAGAGAAAGAGCTATGGCAAGAGGCAAGTGTGAATCTTTCTTGAACAGGAAAAAAAAAGAAACATCATATTTTATGCTAGATACCTGCATATTTGCCATCAATTTTTCTCAGCTGTGAAAATGCACAGTATACTAACCACAGTCCTGGTTGTTCAAGAAGGGGAAATTAGCCCTCTTCAGCTCATCCAGCTTTTCCTTCAGCTTTCTAACCTGGCTGTCAGAGCGGCTGATCTTTTGCCTCAGCTGCTTCAGCTCTCCATTCTTCTTTTCTACTTGTTCTCTCAAACAACATACTTGACTTTTACTTTGCCTAGAGGAGAAACAGTAGGAATGAAGGGAATCAATCAGCTTGCATGCTCCCGAAGCAGACATAATGACCTCATTGATTGACATGGGGTTGGCATCAGTCTCTCCATTCTGACCTACTACAGCTTCTGTGGCTGGTTTAGGGGTCAGATCTGCAGGGGATGCAGACATGTTTTGGGAAGATTTCTGGGGGATAGCTGTAAGAGAAGAAGTAGAGGAGGCTTCTCTAAACCTAGTGTCCTGCTCCACAGGGTTGTTACCACAGTTTGATTCCACACTTCTCCTTAACCTTTTTCTTTCTAGTTGTTCCTTTGGAAATGATGATTTCTCTCTAGTATGCTTGGAGAAAAAGCTATAAGAATGAAGAGATCCGATAAATTTACATGCACCTGACACCGGAGGTGTGAAGTCATCCTCTGATATACCATTTTTATCGATTTTGAAACTTCCTGGATGGATAACCACTTCAGAATGGTCCTCAATAGAATGCTTTTCTGGCTTATGTTGAGTAACTTTCGTAACTAAGTTATCTGCTAACATCCTTCTGAGAGAACCTTCAAGTTGCACCTGAAAATTCTCCCCCTGCTCAGTCATTGACCCAATTTCAGCTTGAAGAGTCATGTGCTCCATATTATTAGTTCCTTCCACAAGCAAGTCTTGGCCAGATGATAAGATTCCTTCAACTACTTCCCCATTGCCTTCATTTGACTGATTGCCATTTCTTTGTAGAGTCTGGGTTATTATTTTTCTCTTTCTTTTGACATAACCCCTGTTGTTGCTCCTTGTTTCAGAAATGTGGAATATAGTTGGGATGGCGGTGGGTTTCAGTAACCGATGCTGGTCTTCCAGCCGTTTTGAAAAGCTGTCTTTAGTGAAGTGTTCACTGCAGAGAAAGGAATATTTGGTGGGAATCCAATTGTCCCGTTGTACTGCTTTCAACCACTGGATTAGTCGCTTTGAATCCTTTAATGGAAACCTTCAAAAAAGTATAAAAGCAGAAAGTTATTATATACATTTCTTTTTCTTTCTTTCTTGAAATCATGAAAATTAGATAGATAAGGTTAAACTAAATAAACCTCAATCTTCTGAAAAAGTTAGATATAATATACAGACATAAGTAGCATTCATTACATTTTTAAAACCAGTGTCTCATAAAGATGCTGAGCTGTTTTAGATTTTGATCTATTCAATAGCTATTTTTATGAAACAATCATTTCCAAAAAGCAGTTCAACAATTAGATATTAAAAGATTCATCATCCAAACATTAATTTCAAGTGAAATTATGCCCCAAGGTTCTCAGTCAATTAACTGCATGTGATCAAACTGTATACTAAAAATGACAAAGAATTGGATGAGATAGCTAATACCAAAATACATAATTAAATATTCAGAATGGTTTTGATAGGTTGGAAAAGCAGGCTATAAAAATAGAATTGAATTGAATAGAATAGAATAGAAAAATTGAATAGAATCAAACACAAAGTTCTCTTCATTGTTAAATTCCAATTTATTCCACCCAATGGTTTCAATAAATCTAGTACTAGCACTACAGTATACCTTAGTCGTGCCTTTTTCCTAAAATCTAAACGACCTATGGTTGGCCTTGTAACCTACGAAAAATAACTATTGAGCTCTATGTTGCCCTTTCAGTCTTACTTGTGAGGGAATATGCACCCATGCCGGAGCTCCAAATGTGTGTAGATAACTTAAATCAGGTTTTCTGCCATGCCACCGAGTGAATGGCAATTCACCAGTTGTTGTATTCACCACATTGTTTAAAACACGGTTACTACACATNTATATATATATCTATCTATCTATATCTATCTATCTATATATCTATCTATATCTATATCTATATCTATATATATATATTCACCAAGCAACATGACAAGAACTGTAAGAATTATCCTCTGAGTTAAGGAACGAATATAACAGGGCAGTTTTGCCAAATTAGAGAAGCTGGATTTATACAATATGCTTAGTAAAGAGCAAGTAAGCCACACTGTTAACCAGCTGCATGTGGCTTTTTACAGAGATTTCATACTTTATATATGGTAAGGTAACTCTAAATATTAAATATATTCAGACTGGTGGCTATTTGGAGTTTGATGGCAAGTCTGAAATGTTGCATGAGAAAGAGGAGAAAAGGGCCCTATGCTTACTGAAATTTCACACGAACATGTCACGTGAGTATGGCAAATGAAATTAATATCAATCCAGGTTAACCGAGGTATATTCCTAAGAAGATTCTGATAATTATTGAATTCCATGACATACATTTAGATGTCTACTGCCTTACCATCTCATGTTGCTCAAGGTACCTTTCAATAATACACAAAAATAGCATGAAGATTTCAAACATGCAAAGCCTAACATTAAAAATGTAAACCTTGTAAAAATATGCTAAATTAATTTCAGGGGGCTCATTCATATTTCAGGAAATGACCGGTTAATCATACATTTAACTGTTTAAAGAAGTCCAAAGTAAAGAGGCCTGTTGGAAGTTTATTCCAAGTTCTGGCTTTATTAAACTGTGGAGGTCTGCCAATTTATCTCTTATACAAATGGGACTGTCATCAATCTCTCCTTAGTAAATCTCAGATTGTAGATATTATTAGGCAAAAACGCTCTCAGAGAGCCTGATTCAGAACTATTTAGAGCTGTGTAAATAAATGCCAACATCTTAAATTAGGGCTGGCAGCTAGTATGCTTGCAAAGTACTAGTAATATGCTCTTGTTTTCAGAGCCAACATGTTCCTAGCCATAACCTTCTGCATCCATTGTAATCGCTGGATTTTTATAACATGTATAACATGTACAACTGAGGTCATGCTGTTTTCTCTGGCAAAGACAGAGTTGAATGGCAGCCAAATCTAAACAAAGATCATATGCATCTCCAGTGATAATTTGACTTCCCAGAGTTTCCCAAACTTGGTTCTAGAGGGAAGTGCTAGCACTAAAGGGGGGGGGGGGAGAGACCACTCCCTGGATTTGCAACCTGCCCAACCAGTGAATTTTTTAACTTCCTGGGTCCATTTGCCCTCATCTGGTTTGTCACATTTGTAAACACTGATCAAAATATAGGCTGCTTTTTCAAAACCATTTTAAAGGTTGTTTAGTTTTTGAAGAATTTGGAAAAGGAAAATTGACTCATCCCAATATTCAAAACTATGAATTCTCTGAAAATGGAAGTCGAGGTAGGAAAGAACTGTTGAGTTGTTCACTCTGAAAATAACAGTTCCAGCATCTCCCTTTTATTTAATTTATGGACAGTATCTTCTGTGTAGGTTATTTTGGGAAATTGGGACTTCCATCCATATGGGTTTCAAGATATAAGGGCAAAGGATTCATAAGCCGCATTTGGACATGAACTATAGATTCATCACTGATCATTTAGCATTAAGCAGGTAGTGGTTCTTCTACTGTACTACTATCATAAATTAACAGATTCAAACTTTGGGCTGCATTGAAGTAGTCATCTGCAATCTTCCTTTGCATGCAATATTTTATTTGCAAACTCCTAATTGTAGTGAAAGAAAATGCCCAAGATAAAATCCCTTTAATTTTCATTATTATATAAATAATACATTTTGGAAGTTTTATTGCATCCCTTTGCAAGCATTTTTAAAGCAACAGAATGCCACTCGAAGTCACACCGTTAAAAATAAAAGCTTTTTTATTGGCTTTCAATTTTGTTTGGTTTTGTAAGTCTACTATTACAGAAACTGAAAATAAACTCCTTCAGCAACTGCAGTTCTACTCTTGATAACCAAGAGTTGGGTTGTGAAGATGCAAAGTCATATTTTACTTTCAAGCTACTTCAGTTCTCTCCATGCAATGTCTTTTTCTTCATGAAACAAATCCTCCTTTTTAAGGAATCACTTTTTTGTATGTTATATGAAGGTGCTGAGTCATTGGTTGCGTAGTAGTTGACATAGAGACCGTCTGTTCTAGTTTTCCCTCAGAATTGAGCCTAAATTTTCTAGTAATCTAAAAAGAATATAAAAAAGACATTATGTATTATATCATTATGTAAAACAAATTAAGATGAAGGGACATAAATGAATACAAATGTTCTCAAGTACTACTGTAATATGCACACTTCAAATCCTCGCAAAATTCCAAGCAGGATATTGAGGCTTATTTCAATGTTTATCTTTTCATTTTGACACTTATTGGAAGGGGAAACCTTTTTAGAAGGCTTCTGAACACAAATCAGAAATCTGGTATGTAATACAAAAAGCACAGACTAATGGGTACCCTTAGAATAAAAGTACAGAAATCTGTCAATAAATCATGGTGATTTCTTTTCTTTGTCTGAAACCTACATTTGCTTCAAATTTGTCAAGTTACAATTAAATAATGTAAGTAATAAACCTAACCGTAATTCTTAAAAAGAGAGGTAGCAAAGAATAGTTTACGATTAAACACCTTTGAAAATTACAGGATATTATGTCAAAGAGTTTATTATTGGCCCATCTCACCTCGCAGGGTTGTGGGGAAAATAGGAGGTGGAAGGGCTATTGGGTATGTTCACCACCTTGAGTTACATAGAATAATAATGAAGGCTGGATCAAACTAAAATAAATTTCACATAGCAAACCCAAAGAGGGCACCCCTTGGCACTGGCCTCCTGCAATGTTCATCAAATCGTTTCTAAAAAACAATTCTGTTTCCCATCTAGGTATTGAATCTTTTGGTGACCTTTGTCCCTTTGAAATAGGTATTTTAGAATGAGAATGAAATATCTGGGATTGCAAAACTCTCCCCAGGAAATTCTGCCATTTTTTTTTCTTTTGGGGCAAGTGTTCAAAAGAACTTGAAAAATAGTTTTTCCTGGTAGAAATGAATAATAAAAATTGCTCAGCAATAACATTAACAGACCAATGTCTATTAATGGACCAATTATTTTGAGGGCTATATTATGAAAAAAGACAACTACTGCAATAAAATCTGTTTATCTACTCTTCTTATTCTTATATCCCAAATCAATCCACTGCAAGATAAAGGCCTCTTCCATGAAGTTTATGGACCATAATCTACAAGGCTAGTTCTGTGCAGGTTGGCAGATAGGTGTATTCTGGCTTCTTAATCCAGGGCTAAGACTAGAATTTGGGGATCTGGCTCCCGCTCCAGCACCTTAATCACGTTTTTAATTTCTGAATGGACTTCTTTTGGGTGTGTGTGTGGGAAATTCACTATTGTTAGATAATTACCCATAAGTAGTATAGTAAATATCAAAACAGAGCTCTTCACTTAAGATATAAATATCGAAGATATAGAAAGGTGGAAACCTGAATCAGAATAATAGCTATGAAAAAGAATTGGGACTAGCAAGTTATTCCAAACTTTGAGACTATTAACGTGGCTGCAAGTGGCTGCAAAAAAAGGCAAATGGAATTTTAGATTGCACGAATAGTACTTTCATGCAGTACTCACCAGAAGTAACTGCTTCAGAATAAAGTCAAACTCTATCTTGAATATTGTGTCCAGTTCTGGGCACTTCACTTAAGGAAAGATCAGACTATTTGAAGCTAGTCGAGAGAAAGGTAGCAAGAAAGATCAGGAGGGCATGAACTAAGTCCTTTGAAGGGACATTGAGGGCACTGGGACAGTTTGACCAAATATTTTGGCTAAAAACTGATAGCTGCTATAAATCTCTTTGCTCTTCCTCAACTCTAGAAAACCTTTGGTGACTAGTTAGGGAGAAAAAAGATGCTATTACTCCACTCAAAGAGGAACAAGATAATTTTCAAGCAAACATTTTAACCTAACTGTGAAAGCCACTTGTCTTTTGAGGATGGGCAAGGATATGCTGTAATGTGATCAAGCTGCTATCAGTGTTTTCTGGATTTAGCAACAGTTTCAGAATAACCCTTTTAATATTTATATTTTGCAGGTAAAAGTATATTGGTTATTGGTTTTTTGGCAGAATTGGTAAATTAGCACTGACTCAATCTCAAAGATTCTCATACTTAAACTAGGATTTATATTACATATCATAAAGATTTGTGAAGAATAATGCAGTATCCATTTTTATTTAACCTCAATCCCAATCTACCATTTGAATTTAATCCTATATTCTTTCCAACTCCAAATATTTGATTAAATATGCATAAATGGTCAATTAATGGGATTTCTATAGAGTAGGTGTGAATTTATTAATATCTTGGGCTTCAGATTCAGACCTTATCTTGGAGCACATATTTCTCTTGATTGACCAGTGTTGCTCAATGCATTCACACAGGCAACAAGGTCTTTCTTGCTATGATTATTTTGCACCTTCTCTATAGGGGTTCAGATTTGTACTCTTATAAAGTATAATATCCTAAAGGCTTTCCAGTCCAAGTTTTTGAAAGCTATCTTTGCAGTCCCAAATTGCATCAACATTGCTGTCTTGTGCCCAGAGGCAGAATGGGTTTCTGTGGGTTCTGTAGCCTGGTATTATCACATTAATCAGTGTTAAAATTATTTTTTCCCCATGCATCTGATCCCACTAGTTCTCAGGTACCATTTTAAAACAACTTGTTTAGCAAGAGCTAAAAGCAGTTTTCGACTTCTAGGATTCTCTTTGGAGAACCTCTTCCCCTTTGGGTGTGAAAATGCCAGGAGTATCTTAAGAAGAATCTGAGATACTGATTTTCAAACCAGTCTAAGACTACTATCCAATCTCTCAGTCCACGGAGTCATCTTGACCAAATTGAAAACAGCCATCCATTGGAAAACAATATGGTCTGGGGACATGCAAAACTCCATCAGCGCATCAGAATCTCTGGAAAACAGTACAAAGTAACCTCTGCTCTACCAGTCTTAAAACAAAGAGGACTAGATTACTGGACTAGATGAAAAATCCTAGTAGTGATGCAGGAATGTGAGTAAAATTACTATTTGAAGAATTTTAAATATTATAGTAGCACAAAGAAACCTTTGCATCAAGCAAATGTACTGCTGGTAGAATGAGCTGCAAATGTCCTAACCCTAAATTCCATTTCATTACTTTCATTTTCATTTAGCTAAAACTAAATGGAAAGGTCAAATGATTACAAAATATTAGAAGCATGACTCTGATGATTCAATTAAAATCCATACGTTTACAAAATAGCTAGTCATTTTCCACAGTGGTAATATAGCTGGAGCTTTAGAGAACATACAATAGTGATGATACGACAGCTGGGTTTTCTGGCCCATCCACCTTGTCATTGATATAAGTCCCGAGTAATGCTTAATTTGACAACAACAACAACAACAACAACAACAATAAATAAAAAGTTGTGGTTCAATTGAGTAGAAAAATAAACTTTTCAGTAGCATTAGAGGCAATTGTTCTCACAGCACTTTGACCAAATAGCATAACATTACAAATTTCTCTCTTTAGACTTTCTATGATGAATTCCCCACCCTTCATTACTGTACTAGGTTCTTTAGAAATACCAAATATACATCATAAATATGTCTTTAATCACTCTTTTGTGTGCTATAGAATGCTATAGAATTAATAATTATAGAAATTATTACAAACACATAGAATGGAATTGACCAGAAATATAACAGTTTCTGGGGAACGTAATAGCAGAATTATATTGTTTAGGCTAGCAATAGGATGCTGAGTACATATTCATCAACCAAATTACAACTAAGCATACTCACTTGCTCTACATGAGGTTTCTTGGCAAACGAAATCCTTGCTACTGAATGGGAAGCTATAGAAAGCTCTTGCCCATTTACCTCTCCCTCTTCTACTTCCACCAATCCTACATAAAACAAACAAATATTAATAGCCATAGGATTCACAGAATTATGTCAACTATACCTCCAAACTAATCATTTATGAAAACAAAATGGTAGATAGCAGAAAATTTTCTAAGTGCTTTCATAAAAATCAAGTTCAAAACTGGGATTAAAAATAACTAATGCAATAAGATTAATACCTGTGTTCTGAGCACTAATGAAGGCCACCTTGTTAGTGTCAGGTTGGATGCGGATAAATCCACATTCTCGATGCATTGGTTTCTTGGTGTCTGGATGGAAAGCATTGAAACTGTTGGGATAAAAAACAGTACAATCTGCATTTTTCTATTAACAAATCCACATAAATCAGAATTCATTCAGCCACTTCCCCCCAATATTATTTGAATGAAAGAAATGTGAGTGGCATTCTCATATACCCTTAAATAGTATTCAAATGTAAAGTAATATGTTTGTCATAAAATTATTGTCGGAAGCAAGATATACTTCTCTCCGCTACAATATTGGACCATTTTTATAATCTTGTTTCAGAAAATAATTTGTCAATGTCATTAGATATCTATTGGACTATCAAACATTAAAGAAAGTCAGAAATAGATATGCAAAAGTAGTGGGATACTGCTTTTCCTGTAGGCACAAAATGCCGCAATTCTTGCTCATTATAAACTCTTGTTCATTGATCATCTTAATCAGTTTGTGAGCATTAACGCTGGAAAAAAAGTGCTACTTCTAAATAACAAATCCAAAAGCGATACAGGAAAAAATACCATAGTTTCCCATATAACCTCCTTTTCCCTCTCCTACATTTATGATGTAACAGAACAGTTCCCTATACTTTCATGCTACACAAAGCAAGGTTAGATCCTTATGTCCAGCTTAGATGGTTCCTAAAAAGCTATGCAAATAATGAAAAAACCACCAATTCCCTCAAGTTAGCCCACAAGAATTAAAGTGTTTCTAATTATTAACAATTAACAAAGAGAACTAAATAAGTCAAGGTTTCTGTGGCAGTGATTTGGGGGGCTTACGGTTTAGAAGGGGGTTTTCTTCTAAAATTAGTGTACCAGCATTCTATGTACCGTATTTTTCGGAGTATAAGACACCCAAAAAAGGCTGCGCGTCTTATACTCTGAATACTGGGGGGGGGTTGTTTGATGTTGCGCCGATCAGCTGTTCTCAAATGAGCCGCAGTGGCAGCGAACTAGCAGCGGCGAATGGGTCGCAGTGAACAGTGGTGAATGCATGGTGGTAGTGGTGAATGGGCAGCAGCGAACGGGCTGCACCAAATGCGCCGCGGTGAACGGGTGGTAACAGTGGCGAACAAATGGGCAGCAGTGAACGGGTGGTGGTGGTGAATAGGCCATGGCAAATAAGCCAGATGAATATTGGATGGATGCTGGGAGGCAGAGGCAGATTTCCCCCCCCCCCTTGTTTTCCTCCCCAACAGCTAGGCGTGTCTTATAGTCTGGAGCATTTTATAATCCAAAAAATACGAGTAGTTAAGATTTTCTTTATACCCCATTAATATTTAGGAAGTCAAAGCAATAGAGTATTTACTACATATTGTTTCAGAGGTATTCTTCTTAAACATATGAAAAAAAGAAAGAAAACTCACGAGAAATTCAGCATGGGTTGACCAGCGTGAGAGATGTGCACTTCTTCAAGGTATTGGAAGGGCTTCATTGAAGGAAAGGTACCATCCCCTGGGGGATCTGAAAGCCAAGTGCCCAGCATCCAGGAGAGCGGTTCAATCACAGGATTCAACTGTGCAGTTTCTAAATAAATAAACAATCTGAGAGTATCAAACTGTACCAGTTTTTTGAAAGTAGCAATAGGCAACCTTCCTTAATAAGTTGTATAAGATTCCAGAAGAAATTATAAACTAATGAATCCTTATAGTACCAGCTTTTTAATTGCAAAATATGCTAAAATAACATTTACAATAATGTATTCTAAAAGCTTTATTAAAAATGTATTCTTTTGAATTTGGAAAGAAAATCAATGGAGTGTTTGTAAAAAAAAAAAAACAAGTTACTTTTGTTCCACAGATATCAGGTGGGGCTTCTTAGAAGCTATAATAGACAATAATCTACTTTAAAAGTATTATCTTAAGAGTCTAAGGAAATATATTTTCTTATGATCATGTGAAGTTTAGACAGGGCTGAATTTGGAGTTAAATAATATTTCCATGGAATGGAAACAAAAAACTAATAAGATTTTTTGGGGGAATGAATTCAAATAACCAAACTTGAAAAATGAAGGGAACTAATGAAGTGTTTTTACTACCATCTAGTGGATGAACTCACATTACAGCAACTCAAAACATAAACATACACAGCACACTATTACTTTTCAAATTGAGCAACATTTTGCAAATGTTTAACTTATATTTGCTTATAGAACTACAACCAGAACTGTATCATTATGCACATTAGAAAGGTATTCAGAGATTCAAGTTAAATATATGCTCTGTGTAGGCACTACACTTCCATACATTCCAACTGACGCACACCTACACATAAACAAAACACATTAACTCAAGGAGGGAATGAAGAGGGCAACTAAGTCACTAACAACTCCATGGCTTTAGATTTTTAGGGACCAGAAGGGAGAAAAGCATGACATCAGATTGAGAAGGGGAATAGACTGTATTGGTGGCTATTAACAATGAATGCAGAAAAGCATGTAAGAGATAAAAGGATGGATTGAACTATGCTTTTGTTTGAGTAGGCAATCTGCAATCACACTTAAAACTATTTTTAAATTTCCCTAGGGATGAACGTGAAAGCTATCCACAAACATTAATGGAGAAATCAGATATTTTAATGCAGCTAAGTACTGACATAGAAGTACACAACCAGCCCTGGGTATTTTTCCCCTTTTGTGTGGGTGGAACAAATAAAGGATCAGAAGACTTATTAAATATGTTGGCATGCAGTAGAAATTTCATATCATGATTCATACAATTTAAATATAAAAACTGATCGAAACATCAAAATATGCATTTTAATAGATTTGTTCCAAATCATTTTGCTCACAGGCATTTATTCTTCTATATCATAATTTAACAAATTTTCCAAACTGATCATGCAAGAAGCTTTATTTTTATTTTTGGATTGAATTAAATCAAAGAGAATAGTGAAATACAAATAGTTCCCTAACTTAGAAAACTGATCCCAAACAAAATATTACATATTATTAACCAGTAGCTTTCTCCAAAAGCCACATACAAACAGTGCCTAAGCCAGTTCTCCTTGCTCATTCTCTCCCTCCTTTTAGTACTATGCTCAGTGGCTAAGATGCTGAGCTTGTTGATCAGAAAGGTGGGCGGTTCAGTGGTTCGAATCCTAGCACCGCGTAATGGAGTGAGCTCCTGTTATTTGTCCCAGCTTCTGCCAACCTAGCAGTTCAAAAGCATGTAAAAATGCAAATAGAAAAATAGGAGCCACCTTTGGTGGGAAGGCAACAGCATTCTGTGCCCCTTCGGCCATGCCGGCCACATGACCATGGAGGCATCTTTGGACAGCACTTTGAAACGGAGATGAGAACCGCCCCCTAGAGTNATCTCACTTGATGCTTTTAAGCAGAGTCACTATTTAGCATCCAACCCTGATCTTAAATTCATATAACATTCAACTGAATTAAATTAATCTTGCATATTTTCACCTTTGGACTACTTTCACATTTTATTTTATTTTAATTAATATTAGATAGGAAATAATGGCTACTATTGAAATGTTTGAATTCTTAAAATGTTTACATTCACACCAATATCAAAAACATTAGGAACCATCCACTGTAACAAAATGATATATTTGTTTTTCTGTTGTATGCAAAATAAATAAAATGAGAATGCCTTCATAGTTTGAGTATACATAGATGACATTTCTTGTTTTACATTGGCAGTATACTAAACAATACTGTCGCCTTTATACTTATTTTTTCATAGCTGTGTGTTCCTTTTCTATGAACTTTTTAAATAAGGATTCACAAACAACTGTATATATTGGATAAAAAAACAATCCATATTCAGTTGATACTTCTCGAATACAATCTATCTCTTGCAAGGATTGGCAAATATGCCACGTTTCAGAGAAAATCAGAGATTAGGATATGACAAGAAAATCAACCGTCAGCTTTTTTCTTATGAAAGCGGTTGCTCCACAAGCCACCTACAGACAGATTTGCTACTGAATAAAGTTGGTTTCTCCAATGGGTGTATACTTGCAAAACTCAGACAAGACAGAACAGGTAAACTTGTGAACAACAGTAATGCCGCTTACTCATGCATCCGTGTCCCACATATGAAATTTAATAACTAATGAAATAAGTAAAAATCAGAGCTAAGACTTCAGCCATATCTTAACACTGGAATGCTTCAACTACAAATCCATAGTGCAGTGGCAGTGGAGGATCAGGGGGAGGGATGACACTACAACCAAGCACGTACAGAGTCCTTCCCTTCCCAAACAAAAAAAGGAAACTTTTAGCCCAAAACATGTACAGTCATTTTCACGGGAGTTGTATCCCCTTTCACTATCTTATCTTAAACTCGGCACAGATAGCAAGAAGAATGGGGTGGGGAGGGAGAATAAGAAGGACGAGAAAGGATGAGAAAGGCAACAAATGGATTTTTTAGCGTCCGTGCGTGTGTCTGTGTGTGTGTTTGTGTGTGAAGTTGGTGCCTTATTGTTGGAGGGGGGGAGTTGGTCGCCCATTGTTGGGGGATGCTCACTTGGCCTGCCTGGGAGAGACCAGCAGCGAGTGATGCGAGTCGGCGAAAGGGAAAGGACCGTCCAATTCCCCAGAAGGCAAAAAGGTAGGTGAAGGGGGGCAGCCGAGCCACCTTCGGGGAGCATCAGCCTGTCACAGAACTGCGAGCGGAAGAGAAACGGGAAGCTCTGCGTCGGTCCCAGGTGCGCCCCGAGAAGCCCCGTGTCGAGGTACGAAGCAGGAGACGGGCAGGTGCGACCGCTCCTCTCCCTCCCCCTGGTTACCTGTGGAAAGAGACGGCCACTCGGCCCCGGGGACCTTTGCCCTGCCGGTTGGAGCAATTCAGCGCCGCGCAACAGATCACCATCGCTGGAGGCCGCGCGGGCGGCCCTGCCTCACCCCCCTCTCCGCCCCCTCCCGTCAGCCGTACAACAAGATGGCGAAGCCAAGCAAGTCACACAGCTGTCTCGCCACACCCTGCGGAGTAACTTCCGTACGGAAGAAGCTGTCATTCAGTTACAGCCCACGTGCCTCCGATCAGTATATGAGCGGAGCGGCGCTTACAACCGCCCGCAACCCTCCTTAATTCGCTTTTGCCCCTCTTTGCATCTCACCGATTGACTCGCTGTCAAGCAAACCAGAAGCAGCGAAGAACAGCTACTCTGGTGTTGGGCGAATGTTGTTAAAACCACGCCACGATGCGAATTACTTGAGAACGCCATATTGGGTCAAGTGGATGGTGCTTAATATTCCGTACAAGAATATGGCGGCTCCCTTCTACTTTCTACCCCTGAAAAATACCATGTGTTAGTTAAACTACTCTGAGGGATAGAAAGCAGTACAGGGTAATTAACGGGAAAAAAAATCCTGCTTCAGAAGGACAGCGAGGCCGATTTAAGTAACCTTGCACACCAATCGGTCTCTCCGTACAACAAAATGGCACCTGCCATATAGAGGGAGAAACCATTGCATCTGAAACTAACCAATCGTCGCTTAGATGAGTGGTGAACAATTCCGTGATTGGGCGAAAGCAGCGCTATGGGATGAGAAGTATAAAGTGCGCCGCTTTGGCGATCTGTGTCAGTCAGGAGACAGCCGTGGGCCCCCCGAGCTTAAGAGGGCGGGGGCAGGATGGACGCGGGTGAGTGGGAAAATGTTTGGGGGGGGGGTGTCAATTGGGAAAGCTGCGTGGGTCAACATGCAGCTCTCTATATTTGGGGTAGCGGGCAATGGGTGTGGAAAGGAAGGAGTCGATTTGTTTTTTCAGCAGAGGGCTAAATTGCGGACTGGGCTAGTCGGTGAAACTGTGATCATGGATTGCCTAAAAGAGAGAGGTCGATGAAGGGTCAGTTATGTTGCCTGGGGAACTGTGTTTTCTTACGGTATTTTTTTTCTTAAATGACTGTGATTAATAGAAGTTGCTAAAGCAATTTGACTAATATGGTACTTTGCCTTCTCTTTTCAAATAGAGGCAACTCCACTATAACAAAGGCTGTCAGTTTTAAGACTGTACTGTACATTGCCATGGTTTTTTTCTAGAATTAGTTGATTGCATTTTTTATAAAGCTTAGTGCTGGTCCTTCAGTGGTTAGATGTATGGAAATAATCTTAAAGTTTTCTAAAGTTGATAAGATCCCAAGATTCTTGTTTAAGTAGTTAAAATTTAACACGCTGTGACCTGAGATGTGATGGAAGAAAAATCATGCTGTTTTAAAACTACCTACCAAAGTACCACATAGCTCAAATGGAAAACTAAGACTCTAAGGCAGTGTTTCTCAACCTTGGTAACTTGAAGATGTCTGGACTTCAATTCCCATTCGCTGGCTGGGGAATTCTGGGAGTTGAAGTCCGGACATCTTCAAGTTGCCAAGGTTGAGAAACACTGCTCTAAGGCAAATGGGTAATACTCTCCTTTTCATCAATTTCTTGACTTTCCCCAAACAGATGAAAAATATTTAAATATATAAAACAAACATTTTATATAAAAACTTGTACTTGGTTTTGCTGTCTGAATAAGATTATGAAGACAAGTGTAGTGTTCTGTAGTAGATTTACACCAAACTGAATTCTTATTGAAACTTTCCAAATACATCTTAGTAAGTGACAGTTAAGGATTTTTATTTATTTGTTTATTAATTTGGTGTCTTCAAATCAATTTGATGACTTCCTGGTCAAAAAGTGAGGTTCTTGGTGAGGTTTTTCTGAAGTAGTTTGCCATTGCCTGCTTTTTAGGGCAGAGAGAGTATGACTGGCCCAAGATCACCCAGTTGGCTTTGTGTCTAAGGTAGGACTAGAACTCATGGACTACTGGCTCTCCAGTTAAAGAATTAATTTTGAAAATTCTCTTTTATTTAATGATATTTCATAAACAATTGATAATTGATTTTAAGGCATATAAAATACACATACTTTTTCCACAATATATCTATACTATTCCCATATATTATAATTTTACTTCAATTCTATATATGCTATACTGTACTTTGGGACTAAGGCCCAGATAGAATGCACTTTTACATAAATATGTTTGGGGTATTTAAATAAATTTATTCCAGCTTGGCTCCTATAACGTTTCCATTTCATTAGTCATTTTGCATTTTGGCCATTAGCAGAATAAATCTTTATAAATTTCCTTCTCTCCATCTTTATTTGGATATATGTTAATATTATATAAGGATAGATGACTGAATAATATTAGCTCGCTTTTTAAGTTCTGTTCTAAAATTTGGCATTTCTTTTTTCTGTTTTTATTTTTATTTCCCAGTCTAATCTCCCATGTTGATTCTGATATATGATCATTTAAATTTTGGAATATATGTATTGATACTGTTTTAACTTCATGTAAACAGTGTATTGAATGTAACAGACTTGAGACTTCATAGCAAGTGCAAAATGAACCTTGTCTGTTATGTATTTATGACTAGACTGAGGAAAAGGCTTAGCAGTCTTTTCTTGGAACCTCTCACATTAAATGCCATTCTGAATCACATGGTGTATGGGACATGATGTTCTCTAAGGCAAGGTTGCAGAGTATGTGAAATTTGAACTGAATGGGTTATCCGGATAGTAATTTTTGGAATTAACAACTATGAGGCAAATAGAAGGATGTGATGTAGGTTTACTCTAGAGTGCATTGTACTGGTTCTCAGTTCTTTTTTTAAAAAAAAAGTAAGTATAACAAACTTTGATTTCTGAAAGCAAAGAAGCAAATAGATGCCCACAGTCAATTTGGGCTTAAATTAGAGTGGAATAAGGAATCCTTAGTGCTCTCTGAGCTTGGTTGTTTTCTTGCAGATGTTTCATTACCAAAACTAGGTAACATCATCAGTGCTAGTGACCATGATGGTTTTACCTAGTTTTGGTAATGAAACTTCTGCAAGAAAAAAATCAAGCTCACAGAATACCAGGGACTTCTCATTTCAAACCTGACCTACAAATATTCTACTGTATTGGCAGAATGAAATATAATAGTTTTAAGAGGTTGCAAAATGAAAGGATGAAAAGAGCCAAATATAACAAGAGAAGAAACTGATTCTAAGGCATGGGTGCTACTATTAAGAAGTCTTCCCATCTATCCCATGCCATTTATGCTTGAACATCTGCACATATTTACACCAGTCTTGATTTTGGCAAGGCGGGCCTGATGTTTAAAGATGCTGGAACTTAAGTAGAAGGTTAATGTTCTATCTGATGCTTCTTGCTAGTAACCCATTCCATTACTATTAAGGTCACTTGAAATGTAGTTTTAGTGAAGTAGTATGTGAATTGTTGCCATAGTACTGAATCGTTGCTCTACAGAGTGATGCTTTTATTGCAGAAAGCGTATGCATGTGATCACTGTATGCTCCAAACAAAAGGTGAGACATTAAGGCTGTTATTTCAGTTCATAACATGAAGAAAATGATTATTACTGCCATTTGATAATGTGCTAATTTTCAAAATAGAATTGGATCAGACCTACAATAATAATCTCAGCCTCCCCCCCCCTCCTATTTTGGAAAATGTCCGTGGGAAGGAAAACAGTGTTAAGTTTAATTAAGACACAATGTTTTCTGCCTCTGTTGTTGATGTTAGAACCTGGAGCATAATTGCTACTTTTTCATCATCTAAAAACAGTTTTACATTGGTGAAATTTTCTGAAGGATTTTTTTTTTTTTTTTGTATTTTGAATAGCGGATCCTGAAAAGTATTTGAGACTACTGTCTTTGTTTGTTTTGAACAGCTACTCTCACTTATGATACTCTCAGGTTTGAGTATGAAGATTTCCCAGAAACCAAAGAGCCTGTTTGGATCCTGGGAAGAAAATACAACGCACTCACAGGTATTTCTTCTGCTAATATTTCAAGGGCTTTACGATTCTATATCATCACTTGAAGTCTGCTGTCTTTTTATAGATTTGACATGCCTTAGAATGGACATAAGGCCAGTTTTCTGATCTTATTCTGGACCAGCTCTGCCATCCTAACAAACGCCTTGCTTTCTGCTGAACCTTTCAGAGAAACCATGTATTTTGAAGATAATAAATGCTAGATGGTTTTCTATTTATCCTATTGATATGAGAGAGAAGTCCGAAAGATATTGAAGTGTTTCCCTCCCCCAAAAAAACTACATCACAAAAGATTTACTCTTTTATATGTGCCATACTAGTCTTAACTTTAAGGACGCGGTGGCTCAGTGGCTAAGATGCTGAGCTTGTCGATCGAAATTCGGCAGTTCGAATCCCTAGTGCCGCTTAATGGGATAAGCTCCCGTTACTTGTCCCAGCTCTGCCCACCTAGCAGTTCTAAAGCATATAAAAATGCTAGAAGAAAAATAGGGACCACCTTTGGTGGGAAAGTAACAGCATTCTGTGCGCCTTCAGCATTTAGTCATGCCGGCCACATGACCAGGGAGACATCTTCAGACAGTGCTGGCTCTTTGGCTTTGAAGCAGAGATGAGCACTGCCTTCTAGAATCAGGAACAACTAGCATATATGTGCGAGGAGAACCTTTACCTTTATCTTATTCTTAACTTTAAATGTTGAACAACCCTAATTAAAAATGGATGTATTTCAGTTAATGTTTATCATTGAAACCATGCAATCTAAGTTCTGCAAGTGTATTGAAATGTTGTTTTCATCCTTTTAGAGAAAGAGGATATTTTGTTGGATGTGACTTCTCGTCTTTGGTTTACATATAGAAAAGGGTTTCCAGCCATTGGTAAGCACCAGTTTTTGTTTTCCAAATTGTTGTGGAAATGGTGCATATTTATTTCTAAAAATCGGATTTCTTTACAACCTAAAGAAGCCAGTTGGAATATTGGTTTGGCATATTTGTTGGTTAGGAGATAAGCGGGAAATAAATTAATTATTCATCTATAACATTAATATCTGGGAATAGATGTTAGTATTTTTTGAAATGGTTAGGAAATTTTAACAGGATCATAATCATATATATATGAATTTATATTTAATAACATTGTCCTAAAATGTGTATTTATATTTATGTTCTTTATTTTCCTCTCTAATTTACTGAGTTGCTGAGTAGAAAACAACACAAGAAAAGGAAACACAATATTACTTACACTCAATAGGATATAACACTACAGGTAGTGCATGATTTACCGCAATTCATTTAGTGATTATTCAAAGTTACAATGGCACTGAAAAAAGTGATTTGGGACCGTTTTTCACGCATGACTGTTGCAGCATCCCCATGGTCATGTGGTCAAAATTCGGCCACTTGGCAACTGATTCATATTTATGATGGTCACAGCGTTCTGGGGTCATGTGATCACCTTCTGATAAGTAAAGTCCATGGGGAAGCCAGATACACTTAACAATCATGATACCAACTTAACAATTGCACTGATTCACTTAACAACTGTGGCAAGAAAGATTGTAAAATGAGGGGGAGAAATCATTTAACAAATGTTTCACTTAGCAACAGAAAGTTTGTGGTCGTAAGTCAAGGACTACTTGTAGTTGTGTATTCCCTTATATTCAGAGAGGCATAATATCAGATCAGCATATCTATATTTACAACCCTATTTTGACTTCGGGCTCCCGATCCTATTCAGGTACATCATAAAACTCCAATCCTTCAAATGATTACTTGCCAAAAAGCTTGGTTTATGTGATCTGTTTATGCAGGGGGAACAGGTCCGACATCTGACACTGGTTGGGGTTGTATGCTAAGATGTGGCCAGATGATTTTTGCCCAGGCTTTGGTTGGCAGGCACTTAAGCAGAGGTAAGTCACATTACTGTGATGGTTATAATGCAAAATCTTGATACTCTTTGTATTCAGATATCCTTCATAAGGGTGTTTTTCACTCTAAAGGAATGCCTAACAAAGCAGGTCTATTTACAAATATTCCAAGTTCCCCTTGGTAGCATCATTTCCTTCAAAATGTATAACTCTTTCCTTGGGGAACATGGTGACTCACATGGGTTAGAACACTGGGATGACAATCAGCAACTCCATATTTAAGTGCTGAGTGCTGCTCTATGATGGGATGAGCACTTGTTATTCACTCCAGCTCCTGCTGACCTAGTAGTTCGAAAGTGTGTAAAAATGTGAGTAGATAAATAGGTATCACTTCAGTGGGCCCATTAATGGGGACATGAAAGGGACCCCCAACCGGGTGAACCCTGAGCAATGGTGATATCACCGGCTAATCCTTTCACCCTGGAAGTACCACCAGCACAAATATGATGACAATTCTTCTCATGATTAAAAGGGCTATGGAAATCAATAAGTTGATGACAGATCAACTTATTTACTTCTTGCAGTGTAAAGTATATTTTGTTCATACATTTTCCCATAAAAATTAAATATTGACGGAGTTGATTGTGAAATACAATAAAAATAAACAGAAAAGTGTTTGTCATTTTACATGCAGATTGTATTTGAAGTTATCTTTTCAATCAGTTTCAGACTATAATAATCAACCTTTGTATTAGAAAGGATCAATTTAAAGCAAGCCGATTATTTTGGTATGAAGACCTTGAAAATATAAGGGTGGCAGTTGTATTTTCTTTTTTCCTCCCTTTAACATTGCCTTCTGTTTCTTAGATTGGAGGTGGATGAAAGGGAAGAAACAAACAGACAACTATTACAATGTTCTCAATGCTTTCATTGATAAAAAGGACAGTTACTACTCAATCCACCAAATAGGTAAGATGATTTATCAGCACTATAGGTAATAAAGTGTGAGAAGATGTTCATTTGCAAACATAGTATAAATTACCGTGTTTTATTATTGGAAATTGAGTTAGGGAAATAGTAATGTAGAAACTGGTCCAGCCTTTCATTTTTTTCTATTATAGATCCAGGTTATCTAGGGACAGGCATTTCCAAATAAAACTTAATTGTGTAATGGCAACTGCTATACAAATTAGAAATAAATTCCATGGAGCTTAATAGAACTTATCTTCAGATGTGAGTGTGTCTATATTTTCCCCTTATAAACTGTGCAAACAACACATAGGACCACTTTTTATTATTTAAAAGAGTTTCTACATTTTGTGTTTGAGAAGAAATCTTAAAGAAATTTTGTTCTGTGGATTATAAAATGCAATAAGCTAACACTTCAATTTGCCTTCAGCTATATCTTATATAAACCATACATACATGTACCCTACTTTAATCCCTTTCAGGGTAAGCAGTTTAAACAAACTGAAACAAGAATAAGAAAGACTAAGCCAAGGTAATTAAAAACCTGAGCTAGGGAAAAGAAATATAATGGAATTATAAACTTAAAGGAATTAATATGCTTCACTATACCTCTTCATATCCTCTCCTTCTGTTATGCTTATGGCCACTGAAAATACTTCTTTCCCAATCACAAATTCAGAGGTATCTTTAGCAAAATTTATTAAAATAAAATAAAAAAATATCCACACAAGAATGCTGTATTAGAACTAGTATCTTATATATAAAAACAGAAATTTTCTCATTCTTTCTCATCACCTTATATAGCAGAGGGGTGGCAGTTCTCATTACTGTTAACTGGGAACTCTGCAGCTGGTTACAGAGTTTACATAATGGTTGCTGAATTTTACATAAAGGTTACATGAATTTTTATCAGTCTGAAAAACAACTTTTATATAACCTTTGCTTCCATCATATCCAAGCATTGCGTCATGCATTTCATTCTTTAAAGTTCTCAACTCTTTTAGAGAATCCTATTCGTTCCATCCGATGCCATTTCTCCTCTTCCTTTCAATACAGCCACAATTTATTTATTTGTCTTAAAATTTGACTTTCAGTCATTCTCTCTACATGATGAAACTGTCTTACCATAATTCTTATATAGTGCTCACTATGTGTTCAATCCATATTTCTTCCTTGTGCTCAATTCATATTCATTTAGCATTCATTCACACATACTTTTCCACACATACTTCTTAAACATCCCAATCCCCTTGCATTCAATTTAATGTTTATGGTGTTGCATATAACAACACTCTTATACATATCCATTTTTGCTTCTTTCAGCAAATATTCATGCCCCTCAAAGAGACCACAAACATTTTCCATCCATTCTTTTGGAGGTTGCATTCTAATACTTTTCATACTTTGTTTCCTCCCAGAGCTTCTTCTGATACAAGGGTGGCCATATAACTTTATTTAATAAGAAATAATGTATAATTACTTTCATATGCATTTACAATGGCTAGAAGTTGCAGTTCATTTTTTTGTTGATCCATAGTGAAATCTTTCCTTCACTTCCCAATATGTACTATATTACCATTTCTCCTGTACGAATCAGACCACCTTCATTCAGATCTTTATCTTTCCCTTTATAGGAAAGATAGGAAACTCTTTGAAAAACGTACAGCAGACATTTTGGTTAAGATTCATTTTAAACCAGCAATTTGTTCAAAATAGTTATTTAATAATTTTGTTAAAGCGACTTTTATTATCTAAGCCTTTTTTGTCTACTTTTGTGTCTCTTCTCTCTCTATATGGAACATAATTTCTTGCTACAAGAATCATTTTTTAAAAAATCTGTCTCTTGAGACTTTAATTTGCATTGCAGCATGCTCAACTTTACTAGCAATCACAAAGAAATATAAGTGACTAAAGAGCTTAAGGAGCTATAATGAGAAAAGGTGGCATTTTATCTTAAAGGAATTAAGATACAGGAAAACATACTCTGTGTCTGGATACTAAAGGGAGAAGTTACCTTTCTATTCAGTGCGGAGAGTGCATTCTTTGCATCTCTCAGAATAGGCTTAAAACTAGACATAAACTCATAATCTGAAATGTATAGCCCCCAGTTTGCACCAAAAAGTGGCAAAATAAGGCATTACTACTTATTTTTCACTTTTTAAAGTATGACATCTTTGCAAGGCTTCCTCTATATATTTCCAATCGTTAAACATATTCCATATTTTAACAAATGAAAAAGGCCAACATTTTCCAGCTATGTTCACTCAGCAAGGTCATCACTTTGCCAGACATCTTGCTTGCAGCCTCAGAGATCAGATTTTAAAATGCTCCCTGAGGAAAAAGTTCTTGCCCTAAAGAGCATAATGATTTTATAGAAGCAAGGGATGGCAATAAATCAATGTTTCTCAACCTTGGCATATTTAAGATGTGTGGGTTTCAGTTCCCAGAATTCTGGGAGTTGATATCCTGACTTCTTCAAGTTACTAAGGTTGAAAAACATTACAATAGATTAATCTGCTTGAAATTATTGGTTCTTGTTTTGAAGCCTGTGGTTCCTTATTCTAGACAGGGTAGAAAGATTTTCCCCGATGAATTTTTATGTATGACCTTCCAAAAAATTACTAACGTACCTTTCTCCAATGTTCATGAACATACTTCTCTGCTGGATAGGTATGTTATTATTTGAAACATTTCACATTTTTAATAGGACTTTAGTTCAATACTCTTAAGCAGTCTAAATACTTGTCCAATTAAGTTTCTTAAGGATTGAGAAGTAGCCTTGAATGATACTATGGATCAATTATAATGTGTTTGTTGCAGCCCAGATGGGAGTTGGAGAAGGCAAATCCATAGGCCAATGGTATGGACCAAATACAGTTGCACAAGTACTTAAGTAAGTATTCAGTAGCTCCAACAGTTATGGTTTTAGATACTGTATAAAATAAAGCAGTTAAATTACCTATCCCAATGAAATGTTAAAATTGATTTTCCACTCAGTATGCCTCCAAAATTCTGTATCTAATCTTGGTATACTAAATTCCATGGGATATTTCTAGAGTTTGTAGGTAGATCTTCCAGTTGGTCTACCTTGTGCCCCAAAATCACCTGAGCAATTTATATTATTCTTTGCAGCTGTATTTGCTCAGCTTTGTGCTAGAGCTATACCTAGGCAATCTATCACATTTTCTGTTAATATCTGCCTGAATTAGTTTCATTACTTGTTTTGTGAGGACATGGATACAGGTTTTCATTCTGTTAATATTACTACTTCTCTAAAGAAATGTTCCTCAGCCTCAAACAGTTCTATCCTGCCAATGATAGATCAGTAATACTCAGATCAGTAATACTTCTTTCGCATGTTGAATTGTCTGTAACCTTACAGGAAAAAAAAGGATGAGGCTTTTGCTTCAAAGAAGGCCATAATTAGACTTAATAGATTTTAATAAGCTTCAGAAGTATCTGATGTTCTATATTAAGACAAACTGCTGAAGAAGACAGTAGCATTGCAATCTCAGGAATATTTAAATAAGTCAGTTTTCCTTGAACCTTTCCTCTTCGGTTTACATGTGGTGACTGTCTTGATCACTTTTTTGGATATTCTGTACTAGGAAAGAGTGAGGTGGGGAATATGATTCTGTTGGAGCTGAAAGCCCTATGAAGCGGTATATAAGTCTAATAAATAAATAAATAAATCTTTCTGTGAATTTTGATATTGTTGACTACAGTAACTTGTTGAAGAGCTTACGATAGCTGGAAGTTGAAGGTGCCATCTGGTATTTCCATTTCAGCCTTTCTGGGTAAAAATAAAATGATACTGTATTACAAGGCTTTTCCTTGGGAACGGACCTGTTTGGGGGGGAAAGGATTAGAAGATTCAACTTTGTCTTCTATATTAATTAGTGCCAACATGAAGACTGCTGGAAAGATCATTCACAGTTTGAAGCTAAAGTTGTCATCAATCTACTGAGATACTATTTCTTGTAGACTCTGAATTAGATAACAGCAGAGTCTCTGTCTCATTATGTTCATTTAATCTGTCTTCATGCTAGAGGAATGTATGCCAAATATTATGTCAATTTTCATGTTTATGCTTAACTTTTCCTTATTGTTTATATGGTGCCTTGAAATGTAGTTGTCTGAACAATTTATTGAACACCAGAATGAATGACTTTTCAAAATGCTACCAATATGTATATTCCATATAGTTCACTGTTTACAAGAATTCTAGAAAAGCTACTGAGACCAATATTGAATGAAACTTCAAAATGAAGTTCATATATAATATTTAATTATACCTTTCTTTTGCCTCCATTTCTCACCCCTTGCTCCGTGCCCTGCTGGAGCAGGCCAAAGACTTATCTGGTTCAGCATCCTGATCCTATAGGGAACAACCAGATATATATACATAAGCAGGAAATAAGTTTTTGTCTAATGAAGAAAGCAATATTTTTAGCTCAAAAATACTTTAAAAGAATATAATTATTCTATTTTTAAAAAGCTTTGCATACATCAATTGCATTATATAAATGAGTATTGACAGCATTACAAATAGAACAATTTTGGTATAGTAGTTAATGCTAGACTAGGAAGAGGCAGAATTGAGTTCTGGAAAAGGTACTGAGAAACCTTTTTCAAATACTGCTAAGTAAACTGCATCTCATCAGGAGTTAAGTACTTTGGCCATAACAAAAACATATTAACCATAGGTAGAAAGTTCTTTTCTCTATAAGCTCTTTCTTTTCTGTTGGTCAAAAAGATAAAAAATTAAGTATTATGAAATTGTATGGAAAAGAAGAATGCAGGTAATTTTGTAATACATATTTATATCCTCTTTGTAACTTTGTTATCATTTTGTGTACTTCATTAAAAATATGACAGATTAAAACTTGAGATTTTGTGTTGATTAACTGATACTGACCCAGGTGATGTGATTTCCCTTGGCAAATTTCTAGATCTCTTAATGTGCACCTTATTCACTTAAATACCTTTGTCTTTAATTTTTATCCTTAGAAAACTTGCCACATTTGATATGTGGAGTTCTTTGGCAGTACACATAGCCATGGACAATACTGTTGTGATAGAGGAAATAAGTAAGTATCATTGTATTGTTTATAAAAGTATGTGCTATTGTTGAAGGGATATGGTTTTTAAGATAATTGGGCTTAAAGAGTCATAAGACATTTGTTAGGTTTACTGGATGCCCGCAGCTGTGTATCAAATGTGTAATTGATTGGTTTGAGTAAGTTTTTATTGGTACTGTTGTTAGAGATGGATTTCTGAAATAGTGCAATTTTATATTTCAGTATTTATTGTTATGTCTGGTAAAACTGAATTGTTGAGCTCTCAAAGCTAAAGATCTTTTCTACTTATGAAAAAGAAAGTTTTACTTTTGCAGCTTCATGGTAGCAACAGAAGAACCTGCTTCCAGGCTTTGAAATGTTGATTATAAATATTTCCATTACAATAAAATAAAAATTTATATTAGCAATAATAGATGTAAGTAATATGTGGTAGATATACTGTATGTAATTTTATTTGCTATTCAACAGCAAATTAGACTGTATGGGCATAACCAAGGCTATTTCTGCTGATTTTTTATCTGGCAGGAAGGTTATGCAAGCCCAACTGTCCATGCTCTGGAGCCTCAGCATTTCCTTCTGCAGAATCAGATTTTCTTTCCAATGGTTATCCAGATGGAGATGTATCTACAGACAGTTTATTGCTTTGGAAGCCACTAGTGCTGCTGATACCTCTTCGCCTTGGTCTCACAGACATCAACGAAGCCTATATTGAAACACTAAAGGTATAAAATAATTTTAACCACTTGGATATCTGAAACCATATGGTTTGGTGTATGCATTTTTAATTCTGGTCCATATTCATATGAATATATTCATATTCACATTCATAATTAACAGTGTTAACTGTGAATGCAATAGCATGCCAAGATAAATTCTTTATAAGGCTCAGAATGTCTGAAATCAGGGGTGAAATTCTACCGGTTCGCCTGAACCAGTAATTAAAAAATGCTTTAAAAAGTTTTTAAAAGTTCCAACAATCACAGGGCCCAGCTGATTGTTGCACAGCTGATCATCAGAACTTTTAAAAGCATTTTTTAGTTTAAAATGCTAAAAAAAGGTTTTAAAAAAAGAGTTGGCCATGCCTACCCATTCACATGACACACACATCCCCCACACACAGACCAATCCACCCCACCAAGCCATGCCCACAGAACCGGTAGGGAAATATTTTTGAATTTCACCATTGTTTGAAATACCTGATCTACATGTTCAATTGTGCTATCTAGAACTCTCATTATTAGAGCAGCTCATTCTGAATAGGTAGAATTGTTTTAGTGGCTGTTGCAGTGATTTAAATATGCAGGTACCCAATGAATACTTGTAATCACCCTAGTTCTATTTAATAATTCAAAGTCATATATTTTTCTCCGAGCTAATTCTGAACAAGTGTGACTTCATTGACTAATATGATTAAACTACAAGCTTGTATAAATATTTTTCTGAGAATAGGGCTTAGTTTTGAGTAAATATTATGCATAAAATTGTGGTGGTGGTATTGTGTGTAAGAAGCCAGTCATCATTTCATGCTACCTTTGTCAGTCACCTTTTGTTGGAGTTTACAAATTATATAAAGTAGTTTTGATACTGTTATTTCATGAAAACTATTGCACTGTAAATGGCTTCCCCCTTTCTTTTTTGTCTTAAAAATGGCCAGTGCTGAAGTAACTTGTTTGAATGTTCAGTGGATATGAGTAAAAAAAAATATTCTGAATAACTGTGTAATGCTCTTTATTGTGATGATGTTGTTTTCCACTGTGATTAATTGTGCATATATTACTTTGCAGCGTTGTTTTATGATGCCTCAGTCCTTAGGTGTGATTGGAGGAAAACCCAATAGTGCTCATTATTTCATTGGATATGTTGGTAAGTTTAAGCTGTATATATGCTGAACATATTAATGAGTATGGATCTGTAAGATACTTCAAACCATTTTCTCAGGTGCAAACTAGCTGCTGTGAATGGAGGCTGAACAAGGCTTAGTGCTATTTATTGACATATCTAGACGTATTCTTAAGGGGAAGCACCATAGGGAGTCTTAAGTTTATATTTATAGTATGTAGGAAACATCTGTTTTTGTTCAAACATAGTCATCCCTAAAATCTGTATTCTCTCAGACTTTGTTCTGTAAAAAGGTAACGTCTTACATGATCATGCAAAAACATATTGAACTTTGTTTCCAGTCTGTACTATGATAAAATGGTTTGACAATCTTTAACCTGTATTTTTGGAGATTATTAAGATTATATAACAAGTTTCCTAGTAACATAAAATTACACATGACTGCAATTCGAGGTAGTCCTTGAATTATAACCACTCATTTAGTGACTTTGAACTTAGTGACACATAAAAAAGTGATTTATGACCATCTTTCACACTTAAAGACTATTGAAGCATCCCCATTGTCATGTGATCAACATTTGGGCACTTGGCAACTGGCATGCATTTATGACAGTTCCAGTGTCCTGGCACCATATCACCATTTGTAACTTTCCCAGCTGGCTTTTGATAAGGAATGGGAGTAGCCAGGTTCACTTAACAACCAATGATTCACTTAACAACTACCAGAACAAGGTCAAAAAGCAGGATTTGTACATGATAGTAAATCCTATTATGTTGTTCAAAAGAGGAGTAAATACTGCAGAAATGTCAGTATACCTGTTCTAAGTCGAGGGGCAGAGTCCTGGCAGATAGGGTATCTTCTTACATCTTCTAGCAATGCTGAGGGAAGAACATTATACAAGGCTGGAATGAAAACTCTTCTCTGAGTCAGAACATTTACCAGATAGTTCATATATTTCTTATTAGCCATGAGAAACTGAGATGTATTGCCTGCATTGATTTGATGATCTATAACAAACAGTTGCTTCTTAAATATTACTTTTACTTTTTCATAACCTAAATAGAATTAGGTAGGAGAGGGAAAGTCATAGGAGCAAAAAGTTGTGAATTTGCTTGCTTCTACTTGCTTTGAAATCTATCCTAAACCTGATGGAAGAAGAGTTTACTTCAGCCAGTAATTTACTGTGGTCTGCACATTCTCAGTGGTTGAAAATTCAGGTTGTCAAGCCAATCTACCACTTCGTTTGAATACAATTTGACTACAAGATGTGCTGATGTGCAGTTTTGTTTTACAGTGTTGGCAGCTGGAATGGGGTACTGTCAGATATCCTTCACAATGACATACAGTATTAGAATATTTTATTGTGGTTCATGAATAAAAAATAAGTCAGCGAGCAGTGGTGGTATTATACACCTTTTGTGATAGTTTTGTCTGAGACATGGAATCAAGATAAAGGCAGGGCTGAGATACTATTCAGGGGGCTATATTTCTCAGTAAGATGTGCAAGTATGTGGCACTGGTCAATTGTAAAGTGACTTTCTTCAAAGCATCTTGTTCTTATAAGTTTCCAATGGATATGTCTCACATCGAGTTTACTGATAATACTAAGGTGCTTGTAGATCTATGATCTTTCCATTGATCTCTATTTAGGTGAAGAACTAATCTATCTTGACCCACACACTACTCAGCCTGCAGTGGATCCTGTAGACAGTTGCCACATCTCTGATGAAAGTTTTCATTGCCAGCATCCGCCTTGCAGAATGAGCATTGCAGAGTTGGATCCTTCTATTGCAGTAGTGAGTATGAATACCTGAAGTTCACTTTCCTATCAAGGAAGTTTCCTGGTTTTGGACAATCCTCTAGTTCAGGGGTCTCTAACCTTGGCAACTTTAAAACTTGTGGACTTCAACTCCCAGAATTCCTGAGCCAGTGAACCTGGGTGAAGAATTCTGGGAGTTGAAGTCCACAAGTCTTATTAGTTGCCAAGGTTGGAGACCCCTGCTCTAGTTAGCTACTGATTCCTCTCTTTATGAAGGTATTCTGTTGTGCGCTCCCTTTTCATCATAAAATTAAATATATTCCTGTTCTGAAGCATGAGAAATAATTATTTCCAGATTATAATAGTTGAGGCTTTTAGATTACGGGTAACAGAAGAGAGATAAGTATCCTAGAGAAGTCTAGACAAATGAATGGTCAGATGCCATATTCTTTACATTAAATTACAATATTACAAGTAAAGATCATCCATTGAAATTTAATGTAGGGAGATTCAGGACAGACATAATTTCACACATAATCTAACTAAATATTAAATGTTCTCCTTGTAAATATAATGGCAATATGTTGGGGTGGTTTTAGAGGAAACTGGTCAAGTTGATGAACAATGATGATCAATGCCTACTGATGTGGATGGAATCATAAACAGCATGTCTTAAATATAGTTACTGGGAATTCATATTGCCTTCCAAGTACAAGCTTGTGAGCTTTCCAGATACATCTATTGGCCTCTCTGTAATACTGAATGCTGGAGGAGAAGGATTCATGACTTATCTAATAGGGGTCTACTTAATTTGAATCTGTTTTAGAATAATATAAATATTGCCATTATAGGGATTCTTCTGCAAAAAAGAAGAAGACTTCAGTGACTGGTGCCAGCAAATCAAGAAGGTTTGTACGTAGCTTTTTCTAATAAAAAAACAAAACAAAACCCAAAAATGGTCAGAATGTATGACAGAATGTATATATATGAATGCATTTGGAAGAGTTAGGATAAAATGAGGAGTTATTTTTAAAAGTCTACCTATCTTGTCAAGGTATCTATTGCCAATGTCATCTTATGTTAGCGCTGTTTCTTAGAGGAGACAGCTTTTATGGATTGCCTAATTATTAGCATTTTACTATTGTAAATAGATGAATCTGTGGGCTTTATTTGATATTGACAATGTTTTATCTCCTTCGGAGTTATCCATTGGAATATTTGTTTTTTAAAAGTGGTAAAATATGGGAAATGTACAAATAAAAGTACTTCGGTTATCTTGAAGCATCTGGTAAACAAGATCTAATTATTTAATTGTTTATGTAAGAAATCAATGCTGATTTTGTCCCATGTTTTCAAAGGATCCAGATAATCCTCCTCTTGGAGGGTGCTGTATGCCCTCTAATAAATCTTTCCTTTTTGGAGTCAGGGTGAAAGTTGTCAAAAATGGTTGAATCTAGGAAATCCTATTAAAGAGGGGACATGGGAGTTTTTTTGAGAAAGTGCAGATCTGTAGAACCAGGAATGGGCATGGGGTGGCCATCTAAGCCACAGAAACTCCACCCATTCATGAAGAGACAAGAGGGAGAAATGTTTAAAAGACAGGAAATTGAATTTGTAATGTCTAACTTTATGTATAATGTACTGTGCAAACTGGTCCTAGAAGCTGGGTGGGAAATCTGCCTTCCACCACCTCCCAAGAAGAGAGCTGGTTACTTTAAACAAGAGCACTGGCCAATAACCTACCAACACACTCAAAGAGGAAAATAAATTCCTCTTCACCCACTCCAGACATTTCTTTGGCCTCGCCACTTACCAGGAGCTCCTCAGTCCACTAGGGAGCCTTCTGCCAATACAGGGAGGCTGGTCTCAGCAAATGTCTGCATCATCCCCTATTGCCACTGAGCACCAGGTACTCAACAGAACTGCTCACATGATCACCGGGATATTCTCCCAAGTTTCTGCTTGAAATCATGAGATCTGTAAGGCACCCGAAATAAATCATCTTACCTCTGAAGCATTAAATGATACAACATGAAATAACCATATCTCATTTTGCAAGTTTCATTAAAATCAACAGGGCCTCAGCTAGCCACAATTATCCATCCTATTTGCTTGAGATTAAAGCCCAATATTTTTCTGCATTTCATATAAGGCACATTAAAGTCATCTAACTAGATCCTAAGTAAGGAACTTTGGGAATGTAGTTTCAAAAATAAATATATAAAATAGGGTAAAGAGCTGGATATTGTGATGGAAATCCTTTAGTCTATTATTAAAGTATTAATGTAAAGATAGAGTGCTAGAAATAGTATTTCCATGACAGTTGTATTTAAATGTAAAATAGATTTTAGGTTGCACTAAAATAATTGGATAGAAAGTTCAACAATGAAATATGAAATTGTTTAGACAGTAAAATAATATTATTACTAGCTTTAAATCTCTAGAGAGGCTTTGAGAACTAGCACTTCTAGCATTGCTTTCAAGAAGCTAACATTTTTTTTGGTATTTAAAGAGGATGGAACAAGAAAATATTACACAGTAGCAAAGTCTAAATGACCTAATTTCTTTAAAAGGCATGCAGACTTGATTTTGACATTAACAACTTTCCTACTTTTATATATTAAATCAATAGTGGAAAAAAGGAAGGGGAACAAATTGTACATTAGAGGAATGGGGGGGAAAGGTTTAAAAAATTAAACTCATCCAATAGGTCTCCCTTGGTGAGATAGTGGATATAAATATGATTAATATAAATAAGCGTACTTTTCACAAATACATATAAAAAGCAAAATTCCTGGTTTTCCAGCATCTGCATTAATCCTCATTTTAGAGGCAATTTGCAATGCAACAATGCATCTTTAAAGAAAATTGTATTTGCAACTGTGCATGTTAGGGGAAAATGCACACAAAAATATATAGTATTCAAATTTGTACAAGCATAAGGATAGATTAATGTAATGAAAAACAGCGAAATCAAACTATATAAATTTGCCCCTCCTTGGGTTAAAATCTCACTTGAAAGTTGCTGTCTTGCTGGCTGCATTAATTTGTGTTCCTTAAGTGGGACTGTGTATATTCTATTCTCAAATACAATATATTTTCCTGTGCTTTCATTATTTTGTTCTTTTTTATTGTTGGAAGCTGAAGAGAATTATACCAAATATGTAAAGCCACTATACTTTTCAGAAGAACATTTTTTAGTATTGCTATATGCTGTGCATTTACACATTTTAAGCAAGTCTTTACAATCATAAAGACTGGAAATTAATTTGTTCTATAAGTGAAACTGTGAACTGAAGGTGCATTATTTATATCAAATATTCAATACCTCTAGAAATAGCAAAGGAGTATAACTGTTTTTAATACATTTCTAACAGTTGTCACTGATTAGAGGAGCCCTTCCCATGTTTGAGCTAATAGAACATCAGCCTTCACACTTCTCTAGTCCTGATGTCTTGAATCTCACTCCAGGTAAGGTTCATTTATTTGGTTATAGAAGGAATGAAAGCTGTATGAATAAAGGAGTTTTAATATTTGGAGATATTTTTTTATTGCCTAAGAAAGATACCAGCTTTCAAAATTGATATTTGGAGATATTTTTTTATTGCCTAAGAAAGATACCAGCTTTCAAAATTGATATTTGATCTTTAAAAATCATTGGGATTGTTTTTAGATAACTAGACTATGAAACACACATTATGCAGATGTAAAGTTACTTTATCAGAACAGCTATAGCAGGGGTGTCAAACAAGATTTCATTGAGGGCCGCATCAGGGTTGTTTGACCCTAGGGGGACCAGGTGGACATGGCCAGGGTAGGTGTAGCCAGCTCAATGCTACTCATGTTGGGAGCATCTGTGGTGGCCTGGGCAGGGCGGGGGCTCCTCCTGGGCTCTGTTGATGCTGGCAGAGGCACTGCGGGCCGCTCCTTCACTATTTCTAGGGCGTCCCTCCGGGCCAGATCTAAGCACCCCATAGGTTGCATCTGGCCTGTGGGCCTTGAGTTTGACACCCCTGAGCTATAGTAACAGAACCCTGCAGGTTTAACAGATCTTCCCTCCCTTTTATCTTCATGAAAATTGGAGATGGTGGCTGTCTGAAGCATTTTCTCAAAACATTTTTTTTCTCCTGGACTCACGTTTGGGGAGGCAAGCATTCTGTCTGGGAGCCATCCTCCTTATTCACTACATTGTTATTGTTTCATAAAATGCAGTGATTTATAAAACAATTACTTCTAAATCCTGCAAAGCAGAGCTGCTCTTGCAGGATTTTTGCTGTACTTCAGCTTTTTATCCCTGTAAAAATATCTGAAAATAGATAAGGAAGGCTAAGCAATCATTCTACCCTGTATTTTGGCTGATACAAATTGAACTACCATAGACCGTATGCATTTGCTAAAAATAATAGTTAAACTATCTGGCATTGCCTAATGTTTTTATTATTCAGATTCTTGCAAATCACAGCTGGTGTTTTGCATAGTTTATATTTAATTATGATTAAATGTGTTGTGGGAACAGTCTAAATGTAATACCGAAGCATATAAATCATTCATCTCTTGTAGATTCTTCTGATGCAGATAGATTGGAAAGATTCTTTGATTCAGAGGATGAAGATTTTGAAATATTATCACTCTAACAAAAGAAACTACAATAACTGCCAATTTGGGTTGAGGGGGGAGGGGAGCTCCTTGGAGAGCCTCGGGCTACCAGCTTTCATAGGTGCTTGTTGACATCCTTGCCTCCCATTTACCCCAGCATTCTGTGCAACCTTGGAGCAGAGTGGATTTTTGCAGTGGGATCAAGAAAACGGGTCGTCATTAAGGCCTTAATAGCTTTAGTTACTTTCTCAGTGCAAGGATATCCATGGGAACAGGATGCAAAGTTTCCTAGGAGCTGGAAATTATTTTCATAGGAACAGGAACAGGCACAAAGGCTTGACTATAATAGTAAAAGCCCTTCGGAGTGTTTGGCTTAAGTCTCTCTATTATTAGGGGGTCTTATTACTTCTGTTCCCATTTTTATAGTGTGAAATGAAAACCAGCATAACAGCTGTGAGACATGTCTCTGCATTATGTCTCCCTAACTAGCCGGCCATATTCTGAATTATTTGGGGCCACAAACTCTCTCAAGATTGACTGCACCAAATATTCCAACTTGTACTTTAGATTTTCTCCAATACAGTGCTTCCATACTTTTGGTTTCAAAGTTGCAATTTATTTTTAAAAATATAATGGTCTGCATTCTAGCAATCACAAGAGCATATCATACGGAACATGTTAAAATATGTTCTAAAGATGACAGGAGAATATCACTATATAATAATATGGAAGGCTCTCTGTTACTCACTTGACTCTTCTATAGTATCCACAAACAGAATGGTGTTATTCAGATTTTGCTTCGTTATAGCTAATTTTTATTTGGACATTTTTCTATTTTGTATTAAAAATATGGCTGCTATTTAATAAAATGAGGTGAAAACATCCATTAGCTCACGAATCAAAAGTACTTCTGATTCCTCCTTTTAATAAAGTTTAGACTGTACTTGAACACAAATCTTGCGTTAACAGCTATTTTAAAATCACAATTTTAGGCCAAAGGTGTGCTCATCTCCCCATTTTTGAAAGTACTACACAAGTCTATTTATATTTTGTGTCTTTATTTGTTTTTCATTTGTTTTGGTTCTTAATATGAAATTCTAAAGGAACTTAAAGCAAATTCTGCGTCCCTCAGATGATTAGCTTTCTGGCCAGGATTTCCAGCCTATTATATTCCAAAATAGCAGAAGAGCTCCTCTGTTTCTAAAAGATAGGAATGGCTGGCAAGAACCCTCAGTTCCAAGCATTAGCTCAATCAATGGATGTTGCAGTGGCAAATATGTTTACAAAGCATTCTTGCCTGCATTTATAAGCAGAACTGTCAAACTACAGATGGTACTATAGCCATCTATAAAGTAATTGCATACGGTAGGTCCAGTTGCCTATTTAGTTACTAGAAATCAAATTCGAACCATGTTGCTTATTTGTCATTGTTATAGCTTGCTGTGCTTCTTCTTTTGGAAGAAGAGCATAGTCGGATTGTGTTTCATTCATCAACTGCTTTCAATTTGTATCTGAATAAAACAAATTTAAAAAGGCTTTTGTATTCTTGGTACTTTTTTCTGCACCACTGATTGAAAGTAAGACAAACTTAAAAGAGAATCATAGTTTCTTTTAAATAAAGACTATATTGTGAATTTAAAAAAATGATACACATTCTGAATATTCTAATACAACCTTTCCTAATCTAGAAGGAAATAGTACATAGGTTTCCTCATTAAATTTTGGGCAGACATAACAAACACTCCTTTATATAGATTGAGAATCTGATTGACACATACACCTCTCCCTTTAAAAATTGGGGGACAAATAATTGAATTTGAAGAACATAGTAGCAAAATCTACACACAAAATTTAACATTTGAATACATAATTTAAACACATTAAATGTAAATCAGATATATAATTCATATAAAAGTACCAAAAAGAGGAAAATAAGGCAGTTCTTTGCATATGTCTCTGCAGATTTGTAAGTATCTTATAACCAAATAATTCCTTGAGGAATTTTCAAGACAGACAATGGAACACACAATTACCTAAGAATTCTATAAACCCTTGATGGTGAACCTATGACACAGCCCTCTCTGTAGGCACGCAAACCATTGCTCTAGTTCAGCTCCACAACACATGCAAGTGCACCACCCACCAGCCAGCCAGCCAGTTATCGGGTCTCTGCCGTGCATGTGCGGGGTGCTTGCAGAGGCCCCACACAGGTGCGAGGGGCGCGTGTGCATGGGCACATGCAGGGAAGCTGCACACATGCACAGAAGCAGGGGCATGCAGGGGGCTGTGTGTGCATGCATGGGGGCCACGCATGGATATGTGAAGGGGCAGGGTGCATGTGGAGAGTCGTGCACATCTGCGTGCTTGCACTTTGGGCACTCGCTCCAGAAAAGATTAGCCATCGTTATAAACCTTGGGGAAGATAGTTTAGCCTCCATATCAGGGTGGGTTGCTGCCGGCATTACTGCTGGTTCACTGCGCGCACAATTTTGTGCATGCTAGCTTCGCTCACGTGTGCACCAAATACACACTCCATGCACATGCGCAGTTGCCCAAAGATAGATAAATATTCTTCCAAATACAAAATATCCTGGAGGTGCTTTGCAAAAAAATTTAAAGGATTAAAACATAACATATAACAGCTAAAACAAGGAATCAGCTATCCTCTTCCAACAGAGGGCAATGAAACAAATGCAAACCAAGCTCTTTAATATTGTTATTCAAAAGACTTCAATCAAGCATCTGTTTTCAAGAATTCAAATGGGGCTTGAAATTGGAATGGGAGACGTTCTTTATTTTAATAAAAGATGTAATAGGATGTCTGAGAGAATTGGCAAATATTAGATATTGCTCACCAAGTGAAGCTAATAACTTAAGTGCTAAAATGCCTGTAATGTACAGCAAATTTAGCAGAATATCATTGGTTAAAATAGCAAATAAATAAATTAAAAATAAAATAGCAAAATCTGAAGTTTTCAACAAATGAAGCAACCCGAAGCAATCAGAAATATTAGCAAAAAAACCTAATGATGTGATGATTACATAGTAATAAGATTTAATGATCTCTTCCCAGAAGTACATTAGATTGAAGTGCAGGGTTCAAAATTACAAGCTTGCAAAATTTAACAAATCAAGGACAGGTTGTCATCGACTTACAACAGTTCATTTAATGACCAGCACTGAAAAAATGACTCATGACTATTTTTCAGTTACAATCTTGCAGCATCCTCATGATCAAAATTCTGACAATTGGCAACTGGTTCATATTTATGACCATTGCTGTGTCCCAAGATCATGTGATCACCTTTTGCGAACTGACAAGCAAAGCTATGGGGAAGGTGGATTCACTTAACAATCATGTTACTAACTTAATAACAGTGATTCTCTTAACAACTGCAAGAAGGTTGTAAAATGGGACAAAACTAACTTAACTATTGTTTCACTTTGCAACATACATTTTGGGCTCAATTGTGATCGTAACTCAAGGACTTCCTGGAATTAGGTTATCTCACTTCAACCGTTATGCTGCAAGAAACTTACACGACAGTGTTAAAGATTTTTTTTTTTGAAAATTTGTGTTTATTAAAGAGTTAGATAATTTACAAATTACTATTGCTTCAATCTATGTTCAGTCGGTGTTTAATTATTGAAATGTCAGTGGTTGCATGTGTGAATAAAATTCAAAGAATTGAAATAAAGGAGAAAATTATTGATTGAAATTGCTAGTTATTATAATCCTCTGTAATGCAACGTATTCCTGCCAATTTTATAAATAATCAAGAATTTGCTTAAGTCTAACAATCTTTAAAATTCTATAATAGTATATGAATAGCATTCATATTCACCTTGTAAGAAAAAATTGTATCCACTATTTTAGAAATTTCATTTGAATATAAAATCAATCACATAAAATATAAGAAAACATAAATATTAACATATTAAAGAATTTAAATAAGTTATTCAATAATAATTATGGCTTTGCTTGGGATAAAGTAAGAATATAAAAATGTGGAACAGAAATTATTTTAAGATTTTAGGCCATATATCAGCAATGAAGATATCATTCCCCAAATTGATCTATTTCAAACTCTTCCAATAGATATTCCTGACAAGTTTTATCAATTGGGACAAAAGAGTTTATTATTTTGGTTTAATTCAATATACAATAGAATAAAATGTTAATTTAAAAAGATGCTACCAGATTTTTGTCTTCCAAAGACTAACCTAGTTGTCTTTCTACAATGTCTGGAAGAGTCTGTGTCAGCTTGGAGGATTATTACCAGCCTCTATACATACAAACACTATTTTAAGCTGTTATATCACTGGCATCAAACTTCCTTTAGAATCTACACACACACACACACACACACACACACACACACACACAGAGTTAATACCTTAAATTATTAAATGTCATTAGCCAAGCATGCCCACTGTATATTTTGAAATATTTTATCTATAGACTTACTCTACATATTACAATGGAATATTACAAACACACACAAAACCTTATTATAGTGAAAAAAAGTTAATGCACTCATACACATGATTTCATTCCATATATTTATAGAAAAACTTCAGTACTGAACATAGCAAGTCTTATCTAAATGGAACATAGAAGATATTACTCCATTCATTCCTTTTGAGTCCCTGCAAAATTGCTTTCTAATGAAAGGACAAGCTTCACTTTTCTAAAACTCCACAGTCTGTAGAGGAACTGATTAGTAGTAAAGATTAGCAAATGAAACCTACTTGGCCTCTCAAATATAGGTACACACACACAGGTTCACTGAATATATGAATGCAAATAGTGCAGAATTTGATTAAATAAGCCCTGACTTTCAGGATTTACGTAAATTTCATTTCCATAGTTCTCCTAGAGGTTTGTGCTGAGCTTCTTGCATAGCTTCTTCTGCAAAGGATTTAATTTCTTTGTGCAAATCTTCTACACTCTTCGAAGCATCAATCAACTATATTCAAAAACAAAACATACAGAAATGAAATATCTATTATTTAACTAATAATAAATGCCCTAAATTCAGCTTTTCGGCTAGAGAGAAATGACACATTCCATGGTCTAGTCAGAAAAAGTTAAAACAACCAATAGCTCATGGTTAACCAAAAACTGCAAGTACTACTAGTTAATTCTATTTTTTAAAATATTTAATTTCTTACCTTCCAGTTTAAAGATTTATCTTTTATAAGATGGTGAAAGCACTGGAGAACTTTCTCCTGAAAAGATGTATTCTCATAGCGTTCATTTCCAAATTCTCCTCGTTTAGCTGCTTCCGACGTGCTCAATTGAAGAAAAAGGATCAAATCTGGCTTTGGAAGCCCCACATCTGGTTGCTTGCACCATTCCAAAGAGAAGTTCTGTTCAGAGAGAATTAAGAGCTGTAGTAAATACTTAAAAGTAAACGAATAACAATTTAAGATTATAGGAAGATAAATTATAGTTCTATTTGTTCACTACTTTCAGTTCTCAACAGATAAGCATTCTTGTAGTGTTTGTATCTTCTCAGTTTATATCTTGTAGAAATGCTTGGACATAAGACCTTTACATATAGTACAACCAGGTGTGCTACAAACTGCTACTCTTTCCCAAGGATATCGTCTATTCTGCTAAAATTTCCATATTTAGATACGCGGCTGTTGAGACTCAGCAGAAGTTTGCTGTGAGTTGAGTCGGGATGCAGGAATAACAATGCAGCTGGGGCTCATTAGTGTGGTCTTCTGGAGATAAAAGGACTGATGGTGCCATGCCCTGGTTGCAGAAGTCAACGTTCAACGTTCGTTGTTCGTTTATGGAGAATTCAGTTCCAATCCTGTGTGAGTTTGTGAGACACTTGGAGAAGTGATTTTGTTTCTTGAAAACTTGGTGTAAGAGTTTTGTTTCTGCATTCTGCTGCGTAACCCTTGTTTGAAAGAGACTTTATCTATATTTATTTTGGGCTCGCAGCCAGTCTGAGCCGAGACTGATAAAGGTTTTCTTTTGGCAAGCTTTGTGTGACTTTAGTTTTGGAACAGGCTATGTGGGGGCCAGAACACCCGACTATGGCTGGGATTTTTGAGAACATTAGCCCAATATATTAGGATAAATGTTACTTTTCTAGAGAGTTTAAATAGGATTAAGTAGGCCAGGCTGTTTCAATTTTATTTATTTATAACTGCCTTTAACCAGTAAACCAGAGTCCAAAAAAGACAAATAAGCATATACAACAAGCAATTTTAATGTTAGAATGGATTTCCTGCCAAACCCCTTATACTAACAAAACTTTGCAACACTGCAAAATGTATAAAAAATGAGCAAGCAGATTTCCAGAGACTGCTGCTAGAAAGGGTAAAATAAAATTTTGATACAATGTTATGCTGGTACATATCTGATTTACTCACTTCTTTTGCACCCGTGAAGGCTACTCCAGAAAAGGCATATCTGTCCACTATTAGAGTGACACCTTGGCTTAATTTTTCTTTAATAGATGGCCTGAACAAGAGAATGGCATGTTATTCACCAAAAATAAAAATAGATTAAGTTACAATACTACCATTCAATGACTATTCATTTAGTGTGTGGGAGGGCTCAATGTTTACACATCTTAGGGAAGAACTCCGAAAGAAAGCAATGGTGCAAAATGGGAGACATCAGTACTTCTCTTTTATATAGATTACTTTTAAGACTGCATTATTTCATAACATCCTTCAATATAATGAAGATAATATACCAAACAAATTAGGCTACTTTAAAATTATAATCTATAATTAGTTTTATAACCAATTAATTGATTGGATAATTTTTAAAGGCATATATAGTCACCAGCACTTGGGTAGATCTTTAAGGACAGTAAAATGTGTTTTGCTACTACTGTGATTTTCAGTGCCTTCATTTTGTTACTTAGTTTAAAAACTAGATTATGTTTTTGAGAGTCAATTTGATGCAGTTGTAAAACCAGAAATTGAGAGACCATGAGTTCTAGTTCCAGTTTAGGCATGAAAACAGCTAATTTAATTGTATGCTAATTTATAGAAACAAGTGGATAATATCAATAATCAATTCCAACTTGCTTCTTTTATCTTTTTTCTGAAAAGGTATCTAAAAATATTTTGGATCTTGGGATATTGTACACAGACCATAGGATTGCAGCCAAACACAATATTTGAAAGTCATACTTTCATAATTTTCCAGAATTAAAATGTGAAATCAAATTGAATTTAATGGGAAATATTTGGACCTCCTAGTACTAGATAAAAATGTATCTTACACTTGCTCCCAACGATTCGCAGAAAACAGTAGATGCACTGTGTGGTCCTCCAAATTGTTTTTCTTTTCCAAGTAAGAACTTATTAGCTGTCCAGTTTCTGTTGACCTTTCTGTAATAAACAAATAGGAAAAAATGAAATATAATACACTTCTTCGGTGTCTGCAAATTATTTCTCTTTATGTAATGCATTAAACATGCATTACATAAAGTGCAACTGCTTTATCTGATAATTTTCATTTCTCTCAAAATTCAATTGGAAAGTATGGCATGACTTCAATATGTAATTAAAGTACTGATAAGTACATACAAAAACTATGACTCCATGTTTGTTAGTTACACTTCATGTCTTGAAATGTAAGAAATAAAGCTGTATGTGCCCTTTCCCTCTTTAGTGCTATAATCCAAATGAACATGAAAACAAGATCCTAATGGAGTATTAATTTAGTTAAATACTGTATGTACAGTGGTGCCTTGATATTTAACTGCTTTAAAACTTATTGAATTTTGTACTCAACGCATTTTGACATGAACATTTTGTCCAAGTACTCATGGTTTGTTTGATACTCAATGCACAAGCTAAAACTTGTCAGCTGCCTTGTGATTCACTGCATTATTCTTTATGGAAAAATTTGGCACTTATTCCTGGAACAAATTAACAATGAGTACGGAGGCACCACTGTATCAAATAATCTGCAGTGGAAATAAAAGAAACATTGTTTAAAATCTCACTAGTATGCTGAAATTAAATGTAAGCATATTCTGTATAGAACCAGCTGCTGAGAAGGTTAGTTCCAAGTGTTCCAATAGAAAGAGCTTAAAGAAAAGCTTAAAAGTGTAGGACAGGATTGCTTTTGAGTATTTATTCACTGTAGATTAATCACAGATTATAATAAAGCACAGATGGTATACAACACTTTCCCCAACAATAGCACCATCGCAAACCCTCTTAAGTGTTAGCATGTCTTTCTTCTATTATTAGTTGCTCAATTAATATAAATTCAACCATGTTATCTAACCCATGCTTGTCTGGTTCTGAAGGGCTGTTCCCACTGAGTTTCAGTCTGCTCTGCGACATTCTATCAAGATCATTTTTCTCTAAATTAGAGGAGACATTGCGTATCTACTCCGAAGTCTGCACTTCATTTACCGGGAAACCGGAGAAGTTCGGCCTGGTATCCTCCTGCCCAGAGGGCCTCCACGAGCCTTCGGCTCTGTGTGCTTTTGCCTGCTCGGTCAACCCCCTCCAAGACAATCAAAGCCCCTCGACGGCCCGCCATTGATAAATCCTCCCAGTCTCTACCCGAGGCAAAAAAAGTCACCGAACTTGCAACTTCCCGCGCTTGATAAAGTCATAGAGATGACTCTTCCGGCGTGAAGAGCGGCTCTACTGTCGCCATGGTAATCAAATAGGAAGGTGAAACCGGAAACACGCAAACTTTACACGAGGTCCTGGAAAAATGCCAAGAAGCAAGGTTTAATTGGAAACTAGAAATAAGAGGGGCGCGGGGACCCGAATTTCCTGTTGAGCACCAAAAAGAGCTACGAGTTAATGAAAGGTCCTAGCAGGGAAGCCAATTGCCCGGTGCTTCTTCTCTAAGCTCGCTTTTATCTCTTAACCTACCGTGTTTGTTAATAATTAATCGCCAAGTCTTTTTGGGGCTACCTGCTAAAAAATTCCATAGAGTGTAAACAGTCGCCGATTAATTTGCAGGGGGTGGGAAGAACTGCACACGTGCTGCGAGATAGGTTTTAGAAATCATTTTTTTTTTAAATACCGGATTCGGGGTGGTAACTCTTTCAAGACAGCGGGAAAAGCGATCGCGGAGGGTTCTGGTGTGCAGTATTTTTATTTAGCCAGAGAACGTCCCAAGATCCATTTGGATATATATCCGAGTATTTTTATTCAGGCTTAGGCACGCCAAACCTCTGCTTCGGACGCCGAAGGCTGAGGACGTGGCACTCCCTCATTTAGCCCCACAACGACCCTGCACGAGATTGGCTGGCTCCAATAAAACCAAGCGGGTAATCGGAAGGATTGGATCTTTTCAAACCATTTCTGCAAGTTAACCATGACAAATAAAAGAGGGGTCTTCAAACTTGGCAACTTTTAAGTCCACAAGTGGACTTCAACTCCCAGAACTCTCCAGCCAGCTCTATTTTCACTCCAGGTTTGACAAAACCCTGTTTGCAGAGTTCGCAGCCCGTTTTAAGTTCATTTCTTCGTGTCTTAAGAAAAAAAAGGGCAGTGACCGGAACAGGACAAGGAGAAAACCCTCTTTACTTTGAAAAAAAACAAAACAAATACGAATGGCCACAAAAGGCTTCGAGCCGAGAACGTTAGGCCTCCAAGCTGCGTTTGATAGTAAGCAAAGGCTTGAAGGAGACAAGTGTTTCCTTGCAGGCGCGCCTGGTGGCCATGAAGTACGAACTTCCCAGCGTCCAGCCAACTTCGGCCGCTGGGGGAGAAGCTGTGCCCGGACGGCTCCCGGCGTTCCAGTCCGCGTTCCAGTCCGCCTTCTCATTGATAGGCGGCACGGTGGCGGCGCGACCAATCGGTGGCGGCGCCTCATGACTATGCGATGAAAGCTTGGCCGGCCATTGCGAAGGCGCTGGGGTGACAGCGCCAAGCGCGCGACGGCTGAAAGGTGGGCGTCGGCCGGTTGGTTGGCGGTTGGCTGACTCGAGATGGCGGCAGCGGCCTTGTATTTGGAGCACTATCTGGACAGTGAGTGAGTGCGGCGTTGGGGAGGGTTGAAGCGCCGCGTGGTCTCGCCGGCTGTTACAGCTGCGTCATAGCCCCGGTGTGTGTGTGTGTTGGGAGGGGGAGTTGCGGAGAGGGATCAACCGGAGAGGTATTTTTGCTGCGTCACACCTCTAACTGGGCGCCGAAAAATACATTCAGCCGGGTCTGGGGCTGTAGTTAATGGTCTTCGCCGGTAGGGGCCGCCTTGGCGCTTTTCGCCCATCAGTGCCACCTGTAAGCTTGTTACACAAACACTTTAAACTTGGAGCATTTTCCCGGCTGACCGCCCCGTTTAGAACAGGCCCCCACCTTCTCCTTGAACAGCGTCGTGGCCGTGAAAGTATTCCTTTTTCCTGCCTCGCTGCAGGTCGGCGCAGTTGCTTAAAGCAGTTTCAAGAGCAAAAGCGATCCCTCTCCTTTAACGATTTCGCTCTTGGAAACAATTGAGCCGTCGCGGATTTTTTTAAAGCGAAGTTGCAATTCTTCTGACTGGCTCAAAAGAGTCCTACCGCAAGCTTCCCTTCAATGTCAATACCGATGAGAGAATTGTGCAAACGTCGGAACCGATGCTATCATTCAGAACTGCAGTGAGGAAAAACTCCCAAGAGGCAACGAGGAAAGAACCAGAAGTCGGCTAGAGTCCAGCATTCACCATCTACAGGTAGTCCTCGACTTACCACACTCCGTTTAGTGACTGTTCGAGGTTATAATAGTGCTGAAAAAAGGGACTTATGACCGTTTTTCACACATACAGCATCGCAGCATCCCAGTGGTCGTGATCAAAATTTGGATACTTACCAATTGGTTCATATTTATGACAGTTGCAGTGGGTCACGTGAATCCCCTTTTATGACCTGACAAGCAAAGTCAACCATGTTCCTAAATTAACAACTACCATGATTCATTTAACAAGAAAGGTTGTAAAATGGGGCAAAACTCACTTAACAAATGTTTCACTTAGCAACATAATTTTTGGGCTTCATTGTCGTAAGTCGAGGACTGCCTGTATAAAGGTTGAGTGGAGAATCTGGTTTGCCCCCCTTGTTAGGCTTATCCATATACCCTCATGGATATGGATGCCTCATATCCTTGCCTGGAGAAAAGTATGTCCCTACAAATATGTAACGCTCAGGCCTAACATATCGCATCAGTAGAGTTCTCCGAGCTTGGTTTGGGGACTGCTGATACTGAATTATTGCACTAGAAAAGAGCACAAGAGAAGTTTTGAAGAAATGGAAGACAGATGCTCCTGACATCTGTCTTTGTACTTCCTTTCTGCAGCAAGGGATCTACTGCTTCCTCTACTCTATAAAAAGTATCAAATGTTATGTTCAGTGATTGGTTAGTCTAGGCTCTGGAAAACAGTGCTTGCAACAGGAAAGATGTTGAGTCCTGCTTTTCTCCAGCCCTGAATATGCACTGAACTAGGATTGAAAGTAAGTAGACTATCGGCTTATATTATTGGTCATTTTTTAAAAATTTTTCCAAGGAAATGATCATTTTATTACATGAAAACTGAGATGAAAGATGAATGGCAGAGAGATACAACTTTGAGCAAGCAGCTGAAATAATATGCAGTTCACTGAATTCTCTGAAACTCACATTTTAATTAGAAAAAGGAAAAAGGAAAAAGTTTCAGGAGTGAAATATCACAAAAGTAAATAGATTAATTTAATAAGCTGAAGATACTTCCTTAGAAGCAAGCAAAATATTGGATTTGACAGAGGAGCTAAAGAAAGTAAGAAACCTTGCAATCGCTGGCAGCCCATTTGTAGATATAGTACATGGGAATATCAGCTTCCTGAAAGAGCTGCTGTACAAGATCAATAGTTTCATTACAAAAGAAAGAAGGAAGTGGCATTATTGATATTTTTTTCTCTTCAGCATCCAGAACAGAAATGTCTATGAAACAACAAATTCCCATGGCTGAATGGGATGAGTGATCTTTCAGTATTAGAATTGGAGTCTTGCATGTTGCTGATCTCTTTTATACTTCTCTTCCATATAACAGGGATCGTTCACATAGAAGGTTTTAATGCATTTTCCAATAGAAAACCACATTCAATCCCTCCTTACTCAGTAATACAGTAAGCTTTGTGAAAAGGGCAGACCACTGTGAGGATAAGGAATTCTCTCAGATACCCAACAGCATTGATAAAGGGTCCACAGGATTAGAATGTGAAGTGTCAAGAGACATCAAATGTACAGAAAATGTTTTATCATAATGGAAAAGGAATATATTCTGTGCCAAAAATATATCATACATGCTAATGGTAGAAGTAAAGTTGGTGAAAGACTTCTGAGCAATATCTTCTACCATTATCCATAATATTGTTAGAAAACGGAAACAGCATGGTGACATTGCTGCAACTTTAGCTTTTTTGCTTTTCCACCCCGGCTAATATCTTCTGATAACAACATTTCGGAGACAGCAAGAATGTTAGTGAACAGAACTAGTGAAGTGAGCAGTGTTTATGAGCCCCAATTACCACGTTTAAGTCTCATTCGGAGATTTTAAAGTATTTTGGGCTCTAGAAATATTTATTTTCCAGCCGAACACTGGAACCCATGAGACTAAGCAGCATATACAACTAGGAATGATGTGTGGTGGGAACATATCATAAGGATAGTTACAACTGTTTCTGGTCAGAAATTTAATTTGAATAGGTTTGTGATATGAAAAAAAATCAGTCTTTCTATCTCTTTTTCAGGCATTGAAAACCTGCCCTGTGAATTACAGAGAAACTTCCAACTTATGCGTGAACTGGATCAGAGAACAGAAGGTATATTCAAATATACTAATCCGCAGATCTTTTTCATATAATGCAGGGATATAACTGATAGCTTAGGATCATATGTAGCCTTTGGTCTAATTTAAAAAGCCCTTCGCAAGAGATCAGAATCCTGGTAAGAGATACACATCCTCTCCTATACTTTATTCTTGGAAGAGAGTTAAAAAGTATCAGAAAGAGAACGAGAGAAAAAAAAGGCATTAGGAAAAAAATGACTGTACTTTTGGTTCTAGCCCCCATTCACTGTTTGTTTTAAGCTGTATCTTCCATGTTACCTTCAAAGCAATATATTTCTCATTTTGCTCCTAAGAAATAGAGCCTTTAATAGAAAGAAAGATTTCCCATTTTTGATGTAATGTATATTTTCTTGGTGATAGATTCAGACAGATCTGAGAAGACAAGTTTAAGGACTCATCATACATTTTAAAACTAAAAGTCAATATTATTTTCCTCATCTTGACAATAACAACTGATAAGAATCAAATTATTGAATATTTTATTTTTGTATATGACATGTTTTAAAGAACAAACAAGTCTGGTGCTGCAGTGCTATTCATTAGCAAAAAGTAGTCCATTTCTTTGACTTTGGTCCTCTGCTTGCATATGGGAAACAAGTACTGTATTTGAATTTATATTATTGGAAAAAAGTTGTTTAAATCCAACTATTTCAGAGATCTGAATACAAAGGGATGTTTCCTTCTACTAGCAGAAATTTAATGTTTTAATCCTCAAAATTATTATTCTAGCCATTTACATTTAGAGAGTCAAATAATACATTAGTCTTTCCTTAACTAACTGGTTTTTGGAGGCAGAGTGAGATTTTTTTTAGCTCCTAATGCTTAGCATCCCAAATCACATATGCAATATTTAATAATAGGCTCCATCCATCTGGTAGTATGCTTAAAGATTTTGTGGTAAAGAGATGGTTGCCAGTGAGTTAGTGGGTGAAGTAAGTTCTTTGGAGATTTGAGATACTGAAATTTTAGAAATTGCAGTGCTATACACTTCTAAAATGGCATCTTAGGGTTGGAATTTCCATCCTATATTTTAAAATAAATAAATTTGTATTTAAAATAAAAAATAAGTTTTGTTTTGTATGGCTGTTGAAACATTTTAGTTATAAAATACAATTAGATAATTACTGTGTTTATGTGAAAATAAATCCAAATCAGATTAGTAAAACATCCCCTGGTAAATGAACTCCTAATTACAGCATCGAAACATTTTCTTATTTCTTTACTTAGATAATTATTTGAGGCTTTTTGGATTGCAGTTTCAGTTTTATACTTATACTGTTTCTCATTATCCTTCAGACAAGAAAGCAGAAATTGATAGTCTTGCTGCACAATATATTTCAACCGTGCGGGATCTGTCATCAGAGCAAAGAGTAGAAATCTTGCAGAAGATCCAAATTGCTTATACAAAATGCAAAGAATATAGTGATGACAAGGTGCAGTTGGCCATGCAGACCTACGAGATGGTAAGATCAAATAATAGAGTAATAATACTGCAGAAGACCCAAGACAGTGCCTATGTTTATGACATCTTTTATCTAGCCTTTTAGCTTGTTTTTCAGATGGCAACTTTTTAAAAAATATTTAGGAGCTGTTCACTGACAAATGGAGATGCTGTGCTGGACTTCAGCTAATACCTATCATTATAAATTTTCTGATTCAGGGATTTTGTTTAAGATTGTACTATTTCCTCATTTAATCTTTTGCAGAATGGAGAAATAGTAAAAAATGTGAAGTATAGAATGAATGTGTCTGACGACTATATTTGTCAGAAATACATTTATCAAAATTATCTCTTCAGCCATATTTCTGGAGTGGATTATTGATTAGAATTTCATTGAGGAATATATTAACAGCTATGAAACAATTGGTACTCACACATTATATTAAGTCATGATTTTTGACCCTGGTTTATTGACAGCTATAATAACTATATTGTGTACATTTGACATTGAGACATAACTGATAGATTCTGCTTAATAAAAAGAATTGCCATTCTTATGATAGTGTTTCCTTCTGCACTTATAGAAAAATGTTACCAATGATGTCTGGGGAAAAAAATTGTAACTACCACATATATTTTGTTACTGCTATGAAGCTTCAGAACAGCTAGCAAGCAGTCTGTTAGCCTGTTAGCTGCATTAGTAAATGAGGAAAAATCTACAAATACTTTGAATGGTTTGTAAAATTATAAAAATATATACAATACATGAATATTGTATATTCAGTTATTTAAAATTAATTAATGAAATATTGAAAAATGTGACTTTTATATTGTTTATAAATTAAGCATTAATCTATTTGATGCTTTCTTTTTTCTCTTTCTGTTTTTTCTTTGTTTAAAAATGCTTAATTAAAATAAATAATGTAATGGTTGGAAGGGACATTATTAATCATCTAGTGCCGTGATGGTGAACCTATGGCACGTCGCCCCAGCTCAGCTTCACCGCACCTCGCACTGGCCAGCTGATTTTGGGGTCTCTGCTACGCATTGAGACATGTGCATATGTGCAGGGTGGTGGTGGTAGGAGGGAGTGTTGGGTGGGGGACAGGGCCCTCCCCGCAGCCTGTTTTTGGTCCCAGGAGGCTTCAGGCCCAAAATGGGGAAAGACGCATTGCATTATGGGTGTGGGGGCACATGCTTTTGACACACAAAGACAAAGGGTTAGCCATCACTGTTCTAATGTAAGAATCCCTTATTATAACATCAGACAGCCATTTAGGCTATGTTTATATTCTTGCAGTGAAAGAGAGTATGCTGCCTCTTGAGACAGTTTGTTCTGTTGTTAAACAGCTATTATGATTAGGAGATTCTCCCTGATATCCAATCAAAATCTGCTTCTAGTCTTATTTTACCCTAAACTTGTATACCCAAACTTCATCTCCTCCCACTTATGACTGCAGGACTATATAACTTTGTTGCTAGTATCCTTAAGATTTATATTGATATTGTTTCCTGATTGCTTATTTGTACCCTATGACTATCATTAAATGCCGTGCCTTATGATTCTTGCTGAATGTATCTTGTCTTTTTATGTACACTGAGAGCATATGTACCAAAGACAAATTCCTCGTGTGTCCAATCACACTTGGCCAATAAAGAATCCTATTCTATTTAATATTTTTATTACAGAAAAACAGTCTGATTTTTAATTTAAATACTATTTAAATAAATTAAATCAGCTCTGTGGTGTATCTGTTTCTGTTTCAGGTGGACAAGCACATTCGACGGCTAGATGCTGACCTTGCCCGATTTGAAGCTGATCTGAAGGATAAGTTGGAAGGCAGTGATTTTGAAAGCCCTGTGACACAAAACTTAAAAAGTATGGATAATGTGACTAATATGATAGAGACTTTAGAACTTGAATTAATTTTTTAATCAGCTTCAGCCAACAATCTTGGTCTTTAGGGTCTTCCCATATTTGTGTATGGGAAAGTTCGTAATATGTAGAAGCATATGACTGATGATGTAATTACACACTCAAATACTGGAATGGAGAAAGAAAAGGTTATATCTGACCAAACATGATTTAAGAGATAAATTGTCCTCAGAAGAGAAAAATGAGAAAGATCCAAGGATGCAATTTTTCTGATTCGGCATGTCTACATAATCAGTGCTATGGGGCAGTAATAAGCTATAGGAGCAGCTTCGTTTGTATCAATATGCTTCCTTTATGATTGGAGAGGAGGGAAGTGTATTAAAGTGGCCTTGAAGAAAGTGCCTTATAACGGCACTTCCTATAAGAAAAACTTACTCCTTGCTTGGATTCCTATGAGAAAAATTTTCAATTGAAAATGGCATTGGAGAAAAGCCTCCTGTGATAATATTAATACACACATGTCTAAAAACAAAATCATATTATTTTCTTAATAATGTACTTAACAAAAATACTTTTTTTAAGAGGGAAGAATTCCAAAGGATAAGAAAACCTCCCGTGGTCGAGGCCGGCGGACATCAGAGGAAGATGCTCCAGTGAAAAAGAAACCAAAACGAAGGTTAGAAATTAGTACAGACTATAGGCAAGAGTTTTTGGATTTGGGTGCCCCCCCCCCAGTCAACTTACAGTAGAAACACTTTTTCATTCCAGACTCCATGGAAGTATTCTAGGGGAAGTATGTTTGGATTATAGCTTTTGGTGAGAAGGAAAAATCCTATTCAGACAAAAGATTTCAAGATTATTCAAATTGGATCTTTCAGTCTACAGAGAGTGGATAGAAACGAGTAAAGCTTAGGAACCCAATCTCTGAATAACTAATCAAAAGCAAGAAAGTTTTTTCAGGTGGGCTTAAAAAGAGAAGGGAAACTCCATTTTGCTTTTGTTTTTTTGCCTTCAGTTTTGGCTGGTTCAGATTGTTCTTTTTTTAAAAAAAAAACCATCTGGAACAGGCCAAAACGAAGGCAAAAAAACAAAAGCAAAATGGAGTTTCCCTTCTCTTTTTAAGCCCACCTGAAAAAACTTTCTTGCTTTTGATTAGTTATTCAGAGATTGGGTTCCTAAGCTTTACTCGTTTCTATCCACTCTCTGTA